AATAATTCCTACATACATTGGTTACGAGGCATTACTTTTGTCTCTTTTTAGCCTTTTCTTTTCAAATAATTATTCTTAAATTTCATTTATTTGTCTCGTTGCCACAAAAGGCCGAAATCCAATATGTGGAAGAGCAAAGACTAGTTTTTGAGTGTATAGGGTCCCGGCGATGAATCATGAAAAGGAAGTCGTAATAATAATTAATAAATAAATAGATAATGAAATGAAAGCGGGGCCCACATGTGTATGATCGGAAGGTGGGCCCGTGATTTTGCGATATGGTCGATGTTTGATGTTGGAATTTTGGCTGACGCGGATCTAACTGCCCCCAATGACTGCCACGTTTGCAGTTTCGTACGCTGCATATAGTCGCTCAATTTTTTTGGACATGTTTTTCGTTTTATTTACTATTCTACCCAATATTAGCTAAATTAATCAGGAAATCATGCCCCAGTCATGCATAAAATATTAAATAATAGTTTAAGAAAGTATTATTATTATTATTATTATTAAATTTTCTTAACTTTTTTCTTTTCTATTTGTTTGTTCACTTCAAGGACATTTTTTTTTAATGATTAAAGTTGAAAATTGATTAGTTCAAGATATAAATTTGATATATTTGAAATGTTCAACTGTATATTTGATGAGATCGAAAATGAATGTTTAATACTTATGAACAACCCAAAACATATATAGTATCTATCAAAATGAATTTCCATGGTAAAGTATTGAGTTCAATGCCATCATAGATTCATCCTTAATTTAAAATTTAAAAAAAAAAAAAAGAAGTTGCGACAAAGTGAAAAGGAGGCAAGGGAGTGATGAGCAAACACAAATTGCTTGTGAATCACCAAGTACCAGTCTCCCAAACAGGTTGGGGCAAAAGGTTTAGCCCCATCTTCACTTGTTGGTTCTTCACGAGATAAACTCCTGCTTCATTTTGATGGAGTTGGCAAATTTTCACACACGTTAAAGTAAAAGCCTTAAACGACAACTAAATTATTGAAAACATAAAAGGAAAAAGAAAGGCCTTTTTTTTAAAAATAAAAAAGGACCTCCTTCAGTTAGGTCAATAAATTTATGTTTTTTTGTTGATGGTTGGATTCGTCAACAATAAACCCGCCGGAATACCTTGGGGTTACCCTTAGGATTACCGGCTTGTGGGTTTAATGAAAGTGTGGATTCTAGTTTGATTTAAGTATTTTTATGTTTGAACGAACTGTATGTAAATGAACAAGAAGAATTTTATAGTGGTTCACTCTATAAAATTAGAGCTACATCCACTGTATATATTATATTTCTTTTGTAGAGATCATAGTTTACAATGAATACTATCTCTCTCTTTCCCTCGTTCTTTTTCCTTTTGAATTTTTCTCCCCTCTTTCCTATTGGGGTCCTTCTTCTTTTATATTCGGACTTCCTTCGCTGGGTGGGTTTCCTTCGTAGGTAGGAACACTCAAGTGCTCTAGGCCCAGACATAGCCCACTAATCAGTACTGTTCACTCAACCAATTAGTCTTCTATTACGGCTCTGTGAGTCTCCGTAATGCTTTTCTATCCCCTGGGGGGTGCGGTTTGTATGCAATTAATGCTGTCAGACTTCTCTTATCTTTGCATGTAACCTATCATGTCGAAAAGGGACGTTCCCCTCGTCGTCAATGGTTGTTTAACCTTTCTCGCCCCTCCTAATGATCTCTTCTGCAGTCGAGGGATCTTATCGTGTTCGACCCAGGCGGAATCAACCGTCGACGTCTCATGGGGTCGTCGCCCTAATCATGAATTTCATCTTCGGGCTCTATAGCTGATCTTGAGGGGAACGAAGCATCGGTGGTTGAGTGCTCGGCGGAAAGCAAGTATAGCCACGTGTCGTGGCACCGTTGGTCCAGGTGTCCATCACATTTTCCCACACAACATTTTTAAACATCATATTTGAACAAGATCACATTGAAATAAAATAAGTAATAAAGCTAAACAATTTAATAAAAATATGACAGATCGAAACAGAATTCTTATTGACGAATATTTTTTCAAACTCTACCGTAAAAATCTCTCTTCTAAAAAAAAATAAGGGTGAGTCTAAATCTACCATAAAATTATAGTTTATGTATAGGCTCCCTAGCATAAAACAATGTTATTTACGTGCATATCTACATGCTGATCAAAACACCACAATTTACAACTTTGTGACTAAGAAGTAACAACATCGAAATATGGTAATTTATAGCGCCAATATTAAAATTTTCTACCATTTTTAGTCTTTGAAGCATTAACAGATGTATCTAAAAAAACTAAATAATTATGTGTTTTATTGATTTTTAAAGCTAAATTGAGTTATCAAATCAAAACATGACCACTTCTTAATAACCTAATTACGTAACATCACAATTACAGTAACTAATTATGGTTTATGTAATCATTCTATCAAAAAGTATGATGAATTTTTTGATGAAAAAAATTAGGAGAATTGGTGGTGTCCTCACCCCCAATCAAGAGAATTGGGCAAGCGAGACCCTTGGAACCACCGATGGGATAGCAAAGGACATGGCCCTATGACTTCATAAGTCATAAGCCAACAGGATAGGGGCTCATAGACTTGTTGGCAAACACACTTATTAAGACTCGAACTCCTGACCTGGCAACAGAGAAGCCTACTTCTATCAGCATGCTACCGTCACCGGTGGTTAAAAAATATGAGAAAGTATGTGATAAAAAATAAAAAGGCGTCTTTATAAAAATAAAAAAAAGGCGGCGTACTCTAGATATTAAATTATTTAAAATTGGGCTGGGTCGGTCCGCGGAGGAGGAGGGAGGCTTGGTTTGCTGTTGGAATCGGAGTAACATCACAATTACAGTAACTAATTATTGTTTATGTGATCATTCTATCAAAAAGTATGATGAATTTTTTGATGAAAAAAATTAGGAGAATTGGTGGTGTCCTCACCCCCAATCAAGAGAATTAGGCAAGCGAGACCCTTGGAACCACGATGGGATAGCAAAGGACATGGCCCTATGACTTCATCAGCCAACAGGATAGGGGCTCATAGACTTGTTGGCAGACGCGCTTATTAAGACTCAAACTCCTGACCTGGCAGCAGAGAAGCCTCCAAGTAGGCTTCTTCTGTCACCATGCTACCGTCACCGGTGGTTAAAAAATATGAGAAAGTATGTGATAGAAAGTCTTTATAAAAAAACAAGGGGCGTACTCTAGATATTAAATTATTTAAAATTGGGTTGGGTCGGTCCGCGGAGGAGGAGGGAGGCTTGGTTTGCTGTTGGAATCGGGCTGGGTCGGTGGGGGCTGATGTTGGTTCAACAAAGGGTTGCTGCCGTGGGCTTTGGTGGATTTGGCCGCCATTCGGTGTCTGCGAGCGTTTAGGCGCCTTCCCGTGATGGTGGGGGCTTTCGTGCCGCCGGCGGTGGGTGAGATGGGGCGGATATGGACGCCCGAAGGGGTTTTTCGTGGAGGGGCTTTCAGAGCTCTCCAGTGGTTAGGCGGCCGGAGCTAGGTGGCTGGGGCCCGTGGGAGGTTGGCATGGAGGGACTTCGGCTTCACGGATCGTTGTGGTGGTGGTGCTCATACTTTGTGTTTTCTGTTGGTTTTGTTCTCTGTGTTTGGTGTAATAGGGGTGGTGGTCTCCCCACCGACCCTCTGTGCTGTGTTTAGTATTTTTATAGTATTTGTGTGATGGGTTTGGTCTAGAGGATGATTTCCCAATGCCTCTAGTGTTATTCGGTGGTGTCTTGTGTCGAGAATGGGTCAATGTGGGGTGTTCTGTGATTGTTAGGATCATTGACAATAGGAGTTTAGCTCCGTTCAGGGTTCAGGATTAGAGTTTCGTTTAGCTTCGTCGATCGGTGCATGGACTCTCGAGTGGGTTCTTCGAGTCTGCTTGTATGCCCAGTTTTTGGTCCTTGGACCTTTGGTTGTACCTTCGCCGTTTTCGACTCATTTTAATAAAGTTCTTTTCTTCCTGGAGGCCTTACTAATATATATATATATATATATTTAAAATCAATAAAATATGCACCTCTAATTAAATCTAATTAGTTCAAATCCTTTTACTTCTACTTTAAATTAAAAATAATTAATCCAATTAAAATTTTACAAGTTGGAAATATGGAGTTTCTCCCATAGGATCAGTTAAATAGAACTACCAGTAGTTTTATTTTTTTCAGATCTGTATCAAAAACATACTTTTTTAATCTCATTTGATTTTGACCAAATTCAACTGTCAGAAAACTAATCATATTATTAGGACGGCCTACCAAAGACAGACCCTTAAAAATAATTAATAGTGGTTTGCTAGTATCATAGCATTTACCAAAAAAAAAAAAACAAAGAATAAATGACAAATTCTTTGAAAGTGAATAAATGCAAAAATTTCAAAACTAGGGAATATTCTATTTCATTACAATTAGAGTTCATACCCTTTCTACGTACTCCAGAAGACAGACCCTTAAAAATAATTAATAGTGGCTTGCTAATATCATAGCATTTACCAAAAAAAAACAAAGAATAAATGACAAATTCTTTGAAAGTGAATAAATGCAAAAATTTCAAAACTAGGCAATATTCTATTTCATTACAATTAGAGTTCATACCCTTTCTACGTACTCCATAATTCATGTGATTAATGCTATAGTGGAAGGGTTTAAAAAACATGAAATGTGCCGTCAAACCCTCTTTTTTTAATTAGGAAAAAAAAACCCTTAAAAAAACCATCTCACTGACCCCGTCTCACTAGACCTTAGGTCTTAGGCCGTGGTAGCACTAGACACTAATAAAAAAGAAATCTCACAACATAAATACAACATATAAAGTCAACATTACTATTATTTTTATGGTATTTTGGATTTGGTAGTGCGCGCAAATATTTTTCTGTTCTTGGCCTTAAAAAATGGTCATAATGGTAAATAACTTCAACTCCCATTGGCAAGGGCATTTCCACAAAAAACGACAGCTCACCCACACCTTGAGGAAGGATCTTAAACCCAAACTGAATCATCCATCAACCCTATAAAAGGACAAGACAACAAGGAAGCCCCCAGAAAGAGAAACAATTAACTGTATTATAGAAGCCTTCAAATGAGGTTCACAAAATGGCTCTAATGACGACCACAAGGACCAAGCTCTCTAGGCTCTTGAGCAGCTTCACCGCCACAAAACCACCTTTTTCGGGATCTGGGTCTTGCTCCAATGGCGGGTCTGCGCTCAATTCACCATCAAATTTGATGTCGTTTAAGTGTTCTTCTTCTTCCTCTGCTTTGGCCTCTGGTGAGTGCGAGGTCGTGGGTTCAAGACACCATGTGGGATTAGAGATTTTGGGTGTGAAGGATTATGTGGATTATAGGAGGTCCTTGTATGGTGAAATCAGTCACAAGGCTTTGCTTGTTGATGCTGTTGGCACACTTGTTGTTCCTTCTCAGCCCATGGCTCAAGTAAGCTTTTTCTCTACATATTCTCTTCTTCCTCATTCAAATATACCAATCATATGTGTATATATCAAAATTATGTAATCTTCTTTGCTTTTCTTTATGGTTTTTTGGGTCTTTTTTTTTTGGGGGGGGGCGCTCTGGGTGTTTCGTGTTTATAATTTTGTTGGTTTTTGACTTTTTCTTTTTTGGCTCTAGGTATATAGACCGGTTGGGAAGAAGTTTTCTCTCTCTCTCTTCTCTTCTTCCTCATTCACATATACAAATAATATTATCAATGTATCAAAATTATGTGATCTTCTTTTATTTTTTTAATTATGGTTTTCTGGGTTATGTTTCATTTTTAGTGTCTTTTTTTTCTGTCTGGTTTTTTTGTGTTTATGATTTTGTTGGTTTTTGACTTGTTTTTTTGTGTACTAAATGTTTTATTTATTTATTTATTTTTATTTTTTATTTTTGTTCTAGATATATAGACAGATTGGGGAGAAGTATGGGGTGGAGTACTCAGAGACTGAGATTTTGAACCGTTACAGAAGAGCTTATGAGCAGCCCTGGGGTAGATCTCGGCTAAGGTATTTTCCCTTTTGCTTTTTCTTAAATTTACCTTTCTTTGGCTTTAAATTATATATTTTGGCGCTTTTTCTAATTTTTGATTCATTTGGTGGTTAAACATTTTTCCTTTCTTTGGGTTTTGGATTCATTTGTAGCTTTTCGATGTTTCCTGTGAATCTAGACTATTTTTACTTTCTTTGAAGAGGTTCATACCCTTTTTAAGATAATTGCAAATTAGAATCGTTTGAGTCATGTTTTAAAATGATCTTTGATCCTTATATGAAAAAGACTATTGTTTGTCTGGTTATATTGCAGATATGTTAATGATGGCAGGCCCTTCTGGCAATATATTGTCAGCTCTTCTACTGGTTGTTCTGATTCTCAATACTTTGAAGAATTATATAGCTACTACACCACTAACAAGGTTGTGCCATTAACTTACTTTCTCTGAGTAGCTCTGTAGAAGTGTTATATTTTCTTTTGTCTCCTGGAGAATTTCGTGTTAGGAAATGAAAAAATGCGCTAGTATACTAAGATATAGTTCTAAACCGTCAAAGTTCCCATCAATCTCTGTTCAATTTTCACACAATTTTATTCAAATGAGATCTGACGGTTCATTATTGTGTCCCACCAATAGGTTGTTTTTTCATATCCTGCCTTGAAATTCTCCTTATTTTTTTCTTTTTCCTTGTTTTTTATCCCCTTGGATACTTTGTAGAAGTGCTGATTATTTAGTGTTGTTTCTTCTTATTGTTCTTATTCATAGGCTTGGCACTTCTGTGATCCTGAGGCGGAGAATGTTTTCAAAGCTATAAGAAAAGCGGGTGTAAAGATAGCTATTGTGTCAAACTTTGATACTAGATTGAGACCTCTGCTGCGAGCTCTAGATTGCGATCATTGGTTTGATGCTGTCGCAGTCTCAGCTGAAGTAAGTGAAATAATACTACGTGATTTTTGTCCATAGTTTATTAAGATTTCAGTACAAAATGTATGATTGGTAAATACATCTTGGTTGGTGTCTCTCATGAACAGGTTGAAGCAGAGAAGCCAAATCCAACTATATTTCTTTGTCCATAGTTTATTAAGATTTCAGTACAAAATGTATGATTGGTAAATACATCTTGGTTGATGTCTCTCATGAACAGGTTGAAGCAGAGAAGCCAAATCCAACTATATTTCTAAAGGCTTGCGAGTTACTCAGGGTAAAACCTGAAGAGGCTGTGCATGTGGGGGATGACCGAAGAAACGACATATGGGGTGCTAGAGATGCTGGTTGCGACGCTTGGCTTTGGGGAAGTGACGTTTACTCCTTTAAGGAGGTATGTATATCCTTCTGCTTATCTCTCTTGTTCTCTTAGTAACTTTTTCCCATGATGGTGATTATCTTATGCTATTTATAATGTTTCCAAGGATTTTTATGAACAGAGTAATGGGAATATTTTGATTTCTTGTCTTCTAAGGAAAAGATGATTGTCCCTTTCCTACTACCTTATAATTATTTCTAAAGCTTCTTCCTGCACTTGAATTACAACTTGCATATTGAGAAAATTTAAAGAACGAAGAAACGAATTTCGTTGTCATTTTTTTATGAGAAAATTGGTTGTATATCTCAAAAGACAGTTTCTCTTAGGATAAGGCTAAGATGAGTATGCTTTGTACTGTGTAGCATTTTCTAGTTTGGTATATCTTTGGTTCTCTCTTTTCCTTTTGGCTCTCCATTTAAAGATTCAAGTTGAACTACTCGAGTTTAAAACTGAAAAAGAAAAAATAGTTTAAGCGAGTCACGAAAGATCCAACTATTTCGCCCCTCTTTTATGACATCCATCCTTGTAATTCCTAACATCATCGTTAATTGTCTATTTCATATGAATGCATCAGTTTCCTCACCACCTTTCGCTGATGCAGGTCGCTCAGAGGATTGGGGTCCAGGTTTGAAGTACCATATTTCTTAAGAGCAACGACTTGAAAGGTTGCTCTCTTTGTACAGTTTTGTATCTTAGCTTCATATGAAGAGGTTATGTACATTATGCTTTGTTAGTCTGTATGAGAGACAGATCGAGGCAAATGACTCTGAGGAAACCAGAAGAGTAAGAGTTTAGTAATAATAGTGAGACATTTGTGTATGCATTTTTCTGTGCTGCGAATGGTGGATCTTATGCGTTATGCATACCTGTTTTTACTTCTTGATCTGAACTACATTATAAGGTCATCTTTGCGAATGACTCGGCCGGATTACAATATATGCACCTTGTGACCTTTAAAAGAACTGAAAGAATACCAAATATGGTTCAAATCTCCTATGATTATGAAATGGTAAAATCAATCGAATATATTGGCATAATTCATGAAGAATAAAGACGTATTTTGGGTTGAAAATTATGGTTATCATCGCGTTTAAATGTTGATGATTTTTTATGTTTTTTTTATATAATTTTGATCCTGACATTAAAATTGAAAAATGATTCTGAATCACATTTTTATCACATGATAACTAAATGTGATAACTGAAAATTTTATATAACTAGTTACAATAAATGCAAAATGTTATAGTTCTTAATAGATTTTAAAACTAAGAGAAAATTTTGCTAAAGGGTGATCGTCCAAGCAATTGTTATGGTTTCACAAAGATCCTTCTATTTGACTAACTAATTCACCAGCGGTCTAGATCTAATGAGCAGAGGAAAGTCTTAATTCAAAGCACCTGTGTCAAAACTTCTTAAGAAAGGGGAGAGTTGATGCTATACATATCAAAAAATTGATGTTGGTTGGTTGTTGATGCCCCTTTTTTTTGCAAGGCACAAACCCAGTTCATATCTCGCAATACGGCCCAAGTCATGGTCACGTCTCGGGAATGTTTAAGTGGGTCGTGGTTTGGAAGGCTAAGAAACGTAAACAAATCTTTATTGTTTCGTCTGATTAGACTTGTGATCCACTTATGAGATACGGAGAATTAAAGTAATATGGATTGAGAAGAAAATAAAACCAAAATATCTAATTTCCTTAGCCCAATTCTTAGAAAAATCTAGGGAGAAAGAGAGAAATAGACCAAGACTTGAGATGAATTAAAATTAATAGGCCAATAGTTTACATAAGTTAATAAATATGTAAAATTACTGTTTTCGTTCATAACTAGTCTGGTTATGAACCATAACTTGACAAGTTATTGTCCATAATTATCCATAACTTGTCTGGTTATGAACCATAACTTGACAAGTTTATCCATAACTTATCTGGTTATGAATCATAACTTAACAAGTTATGACCTATTAATTTCTATAACTAAAAATTAGCCTATATACTTTCTTAAGTTTTTAATATTGACCTATTTTTTACTATTTTCTAATAATCTAATGAAGCTAATCAGCCCAAATCCAAACCAATTAAAATAATCCAACATTCCCTCTCTCTCATGTGGTCAAATGATAATATATCAATAGGACTCTAGCCTCTTATACGAAAATTGAAATGACTCTCTTTTCTCCTTCACGGTTCCTCTATTTGCAGGCCACCGAAAGTGGCATCTTAGGGAAGCAACTCCCCAAATTCATCTTACCAAGGAGTCAAACCTTCAGTCCCTCCAAAATATCTGAAAAAGGGAAGTCAAAAATGTCTAAAATTTCCTCATTTTGGGATGCATTCAGTGACTATGTCAGAAAATGACCGAACCAAATGCTTCAACCAAATACTTATAAAATCCCCTTTCTACCCAAAAAATGCATACCAAAACCCATAGAGGAAGCCAAACATAACGAGTGCATTTAAAATTAATTTTTACTTATTTTTAAAAATATTTTTACACGTTTTTTAAGACATAAAAATAAAAACGGTTTGTAAACCGTATTATTTAGTAATTTTTAAAAACGAAAACGAAAATAAAAAATAGTGAGAATGATTTTTGTGAATAAATTAAAAAACGATTAAAATTTTTTTTTTTTTTTCATTTTCTAGTATTTATCAATAATGTTATAATATATTAATTAATAATTATAATAAGAAACGATTTTACTTTTTTATTATACTCAAAATAATTTCTTAAAAAATTAACTAAACGTAATTTCAGAATCAGTTCTGAAATAATTCTCAAAACAATCTCATTTTTACTTTTGTATTAAAAATAAAATTATTTTAAAAACGTTACCAAACGGCCCAATAGCTCACTCAAAACTCTCCGTCTCTACGGTTTCCGGCAATGGCAATGTCCCTCCGAGCAAGTAATCCCCGGCGTTCTTCCCACTTGAGACCTTAATGCTCTGAAGCTCTCTCCACCATAATCACCTACAATGCACTAGAAGCCTGGATAATAACAAGGCCCCATAACCTCTCAGAACACGCACATTTACAATTTCCAAGCTCAAAATGGCATAAAAAACAACTACAAAATACTTCCCCACCTCTGATGACAAAGACTGCCCCACCGAACGCGAGACATACATGGACACCTCTACATTACCACAAGCCCAATAAAAACCTCTTCCACAAACTGGGATCCATTTAGTTCGTTAATTCGAATTTTTAATTCGAGTTTAGATGTGACTTTATGTGAGAGCTTTTTACTGTAGTAAAAAAGTTAAATGTGACTGTTTCTGAGAGTTTTGTACTGTAACAAAACTTAAATTCTAAACTCAAATCGGTGAAATGAACAGGGCCTCGTTATGTTCATCTCCTTCATCATTGGCTTATTTGGATATCCTCTCATGAAAGTCTTCACATTTACGGAGCTAGAATCACAAAGGATGTTGCCCTCGGAATCACTTTCCTCAGAGTCACTTGGGTTTAGCCCAACCAGCAGAGGTCAATTTTGTTGACTCTAAAGACGACCTTTCCGGGCACACTCAAATCTAAAGTCCATAACGACGATTTAAAAGACCTTTATTTGTGCTTGTGTCATCTGCCATTGGACACCTCTTCACACCTGACAATAAATCCATCTGGTCTAATCAAAAGAGGTCACGAAATCCGCACCTTCCACACCAACAAGCTCGCCACAAAAGAGCCCCAACAATTGTCATTATTTAACATTTTTTAAGAGAAGAGTATGGTGAATACAGTTCTCTTTATTTTAGTTTCCCCACAGCATCTCAAGTAATTGATTTGTCATCTAAGGATTTATATTCCGTTCCGTTCTTTACTGATAGGGAAACATGCACCCTACAATAAAAATTTTCGGAAATATATCCCATATTCTTCATTTACTTCGGGGAAAAAAAAATTCTTCACTGATATATAAGTCAACTCATTAAGCAATGCAACCATGATAGTTAAGCATTTGAATTATCATTCGCTTTTGAACAATGTAATACGTTAAAAAAGGGGACTACTTTATTCTTTTTGCAACTCAAACTCTTTTGTTAGTATTTTCTCTCCTAAAAAATTTAAATTCAACTTTTTACTATATTATTTTCTCTCACATAAATAAATTTGAGTTATGAAAAGAAGAAAATCTATACATTTTTTCGTGGAAGCTGCTTTTCTTTTCCTTTATTAATCTCATTCAAGACCCCATTGAAAGCATGGCAACCTCACTATCAAGTTTCGTTCCGACAAATTCCGCCACGTTAAAATTAGAGGGCAACGACTTCTGCAAATTGAATGGTACCGGCGACATAATGTCAAGTAAAATTTGTAGTTTTACAGAAGATGAAATGAATTGTGTTCTAAACTAAATCTAATACAAATTAACAATTTGGAGGAGCGGATGATACAAATAAAAATTTGGAGGCACGATGATACAATGCCAATAGTTAATGTGGAAGCTTTAACAAGTCCTTTTGAAAATTAAAAAGCATCATGTTGGCTTCTATAATGTTAGACATACAAATTTGAGCTTGAACTTATTAGACGAGTTTATGCAAATGGGAAAAAAAATTATGAATTTAAGGATCATCAAAATAAATCATTGTAATGATGTATATAATAAGCGAGCCAACTTTCGTCAAGAGCAATTAATGAGATTCTGCGAGATGCTCATCTACACATTATATGTCAATTTTACAAGTGGAATTAAGGGAGAAAGAGAAAAATATGTCAAGATTTGAGATGAATTAAAATTAATAGGCCAATAATTTACATAAGTTAATAAATAGGCCAAATTACTGTTTTCGTCCATAACTTGACAAGTTATTATCCATAATTATCCATAACTTGTCTGGTTATGAACCATAACTTGACAAGTTTGTTCATAACTTATCTGGTTATGAATCATAACTTGACAAGTTATAGCCTATTAATTTCTATAACTAAAAATTGACCTATATACTTTTTTAAGTTTTTCATATTGGCATATTTTCTACTATTTTCCTGGAATTAATTCTTCAAAGTCCAAAGAGTTCGTTTGTAAGGCCTTGTAACTCTAATTTAAGTTTTTAAGACCGAATTTACCCCCCCAAAAAAGAAAACCTTAACATAAATTCAATTGAAATATTAATTACAAAGTCGTTTAAAAGGAAGGAGAGAAAAAAATTAAGAAATTGCTAACTAGTAGTATTCAACAACCCTCAAACGAGATTTTGGTCATTGGCCGTTCGCAGCAAGAAGCTGTTTCTTGAGGTTAAGGACCTCAATTCCCTTTGATGCCAGTCGTTCCTTAAGCTTCCCAGCAGCCTCTTCATACTTCTTGTTCATATGATCAGACTCCTTGACCATCTCTGCGTACCGATCACGGAAGGCGTCTAGCTTTTTCTGCGTCCATCTGAGCCTCATTCTTTGTTTTGCCATTTCTTTGTTGCTGTTCACTTGATCCTGTTTATGCATTACAAGATGGGGGCAATACCGAGACTTGAGACCCAAAAAAATGGAATCGTTGGCGGATTCAATTCCAAAAGCAAGGGGTGGCAACCAGATTCAGACAGTAAATGTGAAATGAATCTCATCAATGGACGAGTTCATACAAGTCGAATGCAACCCAAATTGTGTCAAAATTTCAAGTCCAAGCAATTTACCAATTGTTGAAAAACTGTTTTGTTTCATTATGACATGGTTCTAGGCGGTATCTAACAAATAAATTTGTTCAATTGACTGGTTAAATAAAATCCCATAAATTTTCTGGACTTAATCCAAGTTGTTCAATTGCTAAAAGCTGTCTAAGAAAACTAGTTCTGCAATAATGCAAAGGGAAAGGAACAAAACCTCGAAATCATTGGAAAGATCTGATCTTGTTTGCAACTCTCTAATTTGAATCAATAAATCTTCTCTTTCCTTTTTCAGGGAACTTAGATCCTTCTGAAGCATATCCACTTCCTGACAAGAATGACGATTATCCAAGCCAACAATCTCAAAATTTGAGTTGAATGACCAAAAAGTTAAAAACATAAAATAAAATTTATTCGCATTTTAAGATAGTTGTAGAGTTGTGGATGTTTTAACCATCCAATATCTACAAGCAAAGCAAACAACTCACCTCATGGGATTGTTTAATCTCAATATCTACATCACTTTTCGGTTGATTGATTCCCAAAAACTTCTCCATGCTGCAACCAAATTAAAAATAATTCCACCAAAAAATAAACAAATTAAAAGGATTCGTTAAGATATTTTGTGATGCGGCCTTAGCTTTGTTCTAGGAGAGTGAAATTTTTGGTCTTCTGTTTGGGTTTCATCTTCCAAGGAATTTATGGATACTCTTTAGTTGAAAGGATATTTGTGGTTAGTTGTTTTCTTGTTCTGGTCTTTATTTTGTCAGCAGGGCCTTATCCTAGTTTTCTTGTATGTTTCGTTTGTTGTACTTTCAATGAAATGTCCAAACCTCACCAAACGCTAAAAGAGCTAAGAGTAGCTAAAAGACCAAACCTGCTTTTTTCCTTTTCCAGGTCTTCCTCAGAGCATGTCAATCTTTCCCTTAGCATCTCACATTCTTGTCTGCGAGATTCCAATTCATTTCTCACCTTACATAGTAAGATGACAATAATTGGAAAAAAAAAAAAAAAAAAAAAAAAAAAAAAAAAAAAAAACAGATTAACCATGAATCAGTAAGTGTATGATAAAAAGGTCTGTATGCAAACTTCAAGCATTTTATTACAAAAGAGTAAACGAACAAAGAGAACCACAATTGGATTAGTTGATATGTTATTTAGACCGAAGGCTGGAGGTATAAGTCTCACAATAAGAAAAAAAAAAAAAAGGAAAGAAAAGGCCAGGATGGAGGTGGGAGAAGAGAATGCATTTAACGGCACATTAATCATGGAGAGAAAAACAAGGTATTCTGCCTTCATTTCAGATTTTTCATTAGCCAAAAATAGCAAAATCAAATGAGAATAGTGTATATTTATAAAAACAATATTGATAGCAATTGCAGACCAATAGTAATAACAAAAAGATAATAGTAACACAAACAACATAGATAATTATTGAAAAAAAAAATTGGAGTAAAAGATTTTGTTACCGGCCAAGAGATGGGTGCAAGTTTAAATTGTCAAATCAAATGAGTAGACCATTATAATTAAGTTTCTAACGTCTTAATAGACTAAGAAATAAACTTATTTCTATTTACAAATGGTGACACCGATGCTCCAAACCAAACCAGCTGCATTATCTTGAACAAGATTAGCAAAGGAAAAATTACATGATATTCAGAGGGGGCCATAAACTTGATCAATAATTTATACATTTTCATTTATGTACACATGCAAACAAGCGCTTCCAGATCAGTTAATGGATTAAATATGAATCTCACCTCAGATATTTCATTTGATAGTGATGCAATCTCTGTATTATATAACTTAGCTTTCTCTTCTATGGCTTGAACAGAAGCCCTCTCCTTTGCAGCCCATATGGCCTTTACCTCCTCCATTTCCAAAAGGGAATCTGAAAGTTGCTGCAAAATCAAATATTAATAGATAAGCAATTTTCAAACACTAGAAGACGCAAAGAGACTACAATTCGCAAATGATATCTTGCAATTCAAGCCAAAATTAGTCTACCATTGCCAATTCTTCCTTCTCTTCTACCAACAATTTTATGGAGGTCTCCATTTGTTGCTGCTCCAATTTAGAATCTTCCAACCTCTGCCTCTGAACAGATAGAGATATTTGAGTATAAATTTCCAAGTATAACACATATAATCTAATTTTACCTTTCATACTCTTATATAATAAAAGAAAAGCAAAAGCTAAAAAACAAAGGAGAGAATGCCTTACAAGGCCTGAAACCTCTTCCTGTAACAAATTCAGTTCCGAGTTCGAAGTATTCAACTTTTCAGACAAAACTTCTAATTCAGAAGCCAAATATTCACTTCTAGAAAAAGTCTCTTCTTTTTCTCGGCATACAGCTAATAACTGATCTTCTAGAGAAGCAATTTTTGTTTCCATTTCAAATGCATACACTTCCATCTTTTTGTACTCCTCCTTGCACCATAAAAAGGAAATAACCATAAGTACAAAAATTATGTGCAAAAAGATAGGTAAATTAGCTTATAGGAAGTTTATCTTAAATTCTAAGCTTGAGCTAGGTAAATTAGCTTTGGATCATAAAAGATAGCACGTAGACTCATAGGAAGTTCATTTTCGCATTAATGAATTGGAAAGATAGTATCATCAATCTGATAGTCAATTATAAATACACACACATGAGAAAATCTAACAATCAAAGATATTATACTACATATGCAGAAGAATTAAACATTACTTTAGTTACCTGTATTGTCTCATCAAAAGAACCAATTAGTCCTTTTGACTTTTTTGGGTCACACATCTTTGAATTATTATCTATAACTGAATCACGCCTTCTACCAGCAAATGACTCACGCCTTCTACCAGCAAATGACTCACGCTCAAGAAGAGAATTCTGACCGTTCAAACGTTTTATTTCTCTTTCTGCAAATGCGTTCTCACCCTAGGAGTGTGCAGAAAATTAGTTCAAGATAATTATTGGAATTGAAAATAAGATATTGTCTAGGTATGCAATATCGAACCTCAAGTTTGGTTTTCTCCTGCATTACATTCTTAAGCTTAAACTCTCTATCTTTCAGCTTCAGTTTTGTTTTCTCAAGATCTTTTCTCAATGTTTCCTTCTCCTTTGCCAAGGAACATGATGAAAAACTTGATATTTCCCTTTCGAGGCTTTGAATATAAGAAAGGTATTCTTCCTTTTCTAAATCTTGTTCTTCCAAAAGTGTCTGGAATATTATTAAACATGCAGTCAGAAACGAGCATGATTTTACCTACGATGCACATAAACGTGTTTATCAATTACACATATTACATTTGTAACTTACTCTCAAAGAATTCTCAGAGTTTTGAGCTTGTAGTTTAAGTTCTTCAATTTGGTTCTGGAGATCAACTGATTGCCCATGCAAAAGAGACTGCAGCCAAATAGTTAGGATTCTTTTCAATAAGGGAAGAGAGTGATCTTAATTTATTCACAATGTACATGATCAACCTTCTCATTCTCAAGATTAGAAACTTTCTGCATCAAGCAAGAGTTTAGCTTCTCATAATTACTAATAATTGACTTTTCTTGAAGATTACTCTGACGCATCAAAGCCTTGAAATCCTGTATTGCAACAAACAGTTTTCAACCTTTAGGCAATCATAAGATAGAACAATGGATATAAACTTCAGAAAACAAAATGAAAGGAAGAAAATTTAACAGCTCAAGGCTCCCGCCTCTTAGAGAGTAGTTAGTAGAATAATCATTACAAGATGTTTCAACAATACTCACAAGGAACGTCTCAATTAGGGCAGAAAAAGTCTTGGAGACCTCATCCAGAATTGAAGTCATACTCTCAATAACAACTTTTGAGTCCTGAACTTCAAAAATCACATCTTGGACCTCACTAAACAGCTTGTTCACAAAAGCAGAATTTTCCTCCTAGAAGAAGTTGTCATAGGTTAGCCAGTGAGGCTTGTAAAGGAAACAATTGTACTTCACGACCTTTGAAGTGATTAACCAAACCTTGTGAAAACAAGTGTACATGGAAAATGTATTGACCAAGAAAGAATGAACCGATCTCTCTGACAAGAACACTAGTGTGCACAATGTGTTCACACACATTGAAATCTCAAACTCAATTGCTAGAATCGGCACACAAACTCTACAAAGAAGATGTAATTTACTACAAGAAATTTCCAACCAAAAATTAATACATACACAAAAGATGAAACATTTACATTTTCTTTTAAATCATACAAACGGTTTTTTGAGAAATATTTCTTGAACAAGAAGAGAATGAATAAGCATCTAGCATATGCAACACATCGCCTGCTAAATTAAAACTGCACCTTCAAATTCTTCCTTTCGGAAGAAAATATGATGCAGGACCAAATCCACCAAGTATTCGAAATGTTGGCAACCAGAGCCATAGTAGTGGCCAACACCACCTTTTCAGCCCACATCGTTTATCAACCAAGAGCCCTTCAAATTGAATATGCTTCAATAAATTCAAAGAGAGAGAGGGAGAGAGAGAGAGAGAGCACAATAATTTTTCAATGTGAAGGAACTCTAATTGGTGTTGTGATGATCCAACGAAGAAACATATTAGCTTCTGGAAGTAAGAAACTGAAGTTGTAGCTCATAAACTTTCAAATATTTTTCCTATTTTAAATGAGAAACATATCCATCCCATCACATAACGCCAATAATGAAATCAAACCTTACCTCTTCAAACTTCTCTTGGGAGCCGACGCACATGCTTTGCTCTGTTTCCGGCTCAACATCACTGGCCAGATTTTGCTGGCTTGAAGCCTTCTCCAGTTCCAACATCTTAATCTGCAAGATTGAAGACAGATAAAGATGGCAAATACTGAAGTGAAAGACAAGACATATATCTTAAAACAGTACTAGCTACACATTGCAATGAGATAATAAAAAGAAACAAACACAAAGATCTATAGACAAGAAAAGGGGGGAAAAAGAGCAGAAACCTGTTCTTTAAGACTTTTGATCACTTGATTAGCCTCTGGCTCATTTGAATCGACATTCCCGTCCCCATTAATCGTAACTTTATTGAAACAACATGCTGAACATTCCTTATTAGCACCAACCTCAGCAAGTTTTCTTGTCAAGCAATCAATTTTTATCTCACTCTCAATTCTCTGCGTGCAAAACACAAATCAAATAAGGATCACACTTATCAAGTTCCACACGAAAATGGGAACTGAGAAGAAATGACAACCGTTTCAAATCTCATTAGCAAATCTTCATATTCTACTTGTATATCTGCTAATTCGTTGTCCTGCCATAAATGAGACGAGCATATGTGAAAGGTTTGATTGTGAAAAATTAACAAAAGAACAAAATTAGACCAAAAAAAAAAAAGACGAGACAAAAAGTATCGGAGAGGGCAAGGTTACAAACAGTGGATGAGCTTTTCTTTTTGTGTGGCAGTTTTCTCCTGTTTGTTATATGCAATAGAGCACATGGATCAGGAAGTTTATATTCCTCAGATGCATTCCTTTGACATTCTTCATCCTGTTTGCAGGTTTCTTCCTCAGGAATGCTGCTCATGAGTTCTTCAAAAGGAAGAAGTGGTCCCATATCACGCTTTGTTCTTGTGGGTTTTATAGCAGAAGCCTCATATTGCATGGAGGAATTTACCTGAAAATGCATGAAAAAAAAAAAAACAAAAAGTCTTTATGTTACGAACGTTGCATTATTGAGATTGTGGAATACACAACGTTTGGAGAAATTTCTGCATTCCTTATTTCTGTTGTTTTAAGAGAATGTGTTGTCCTTTCCCTTTTTGTATTCTCAGAGTTTTCACTAATAAATTTCTTAATCATCGAAAACTAAATATAGATAGATAGATACATAGATAGATACATATATATATATATATATATAGAGAGAGAGAGAGAGAGTTTAGAGTTCTAACAGCATAAATGTGCTCAGAGTATTAGTTATTAATAACATATATGTCGCGTCAGACTGTTACAGTGAAACCAGAAGTAGGCAAGATAATTTATTCTAAAGATATACGTGTTACAGTTGCCAGAAATGCCCTAGAGAACACAAATCTTTCTTTGAATATCCAATGAAATATATCGGCATCTGTAGTCACATGATATAAATATTAACGTATGTCTAATGTATTTATTAAATAATTGGAGCCTGAAGTTTAATGAAAGAAATACAACATTATCAGTTATCTAATCACACATATTAGAAGATACAAGCATTACCTCTCCATGAATCTCCCGTGAAAGATTACCAGCACACCATGTATCCCGCCTCTTGTCCTGCAGCTGTAAACAAGAAAACTTTTAACAGAAACCACAGAGGGAGAAATGAAGAGAGACAGAGTGAGAAAAGGAAAAAGTTAGTAGAATCAAACACACAGATTCGAGTACAAAGAAAGCTGAAATATTTTTCATAGGTTGAAGATGAATATTGATATACAAATATTAGTCATAATACCCAATAAAGTAGCAAAGGACAGGAAGAGGAAAAATGAAAGAAAAGACCCAAATAAGTTCAAATTGTTCAATATACATTTCTGACTTAAATACATAGGAAGTCACTTGGGAATAGCACAAGTTAACTTCACCTGTAAGTTGCAACGCAAAAGTAGTTTGTTGAGGAAAAGTAATAAAAGCATGGAGGCCATCTTCCATTTTGTTTCCGTAAGCATATGATGTGATACCAGATTAACATTGCCCCTTAAGGGGCAAAAAAAAAAAAAAAAAACAAAAAAACAAAACAAAACAAAGGAAGAAAGAAAGAAAAGAAAGAAAAGTTGATTTGAAAGCAAAGCTTTTTTATTTTGAAATAATGCATCTCAAATAATGATTCTAAAACATCAACTGTGTATAGAATAACGTTTCTAAATGAGTCTTGTTTATACAATATGCCTAGAGGAAAAGCCGTTAAAATATTGGACAATCACGACATGAACCCTTAAGCAAGAGTTAATCACAGTTTAAAAGTCATGTAAACAAGTCATAATGTAAACAAGTCATAATCAAATGTCTAAAAGGAAGTCATATCACTATATTGGACAACTACTGAACGAACCATAGTGCAAAAATTATTACTTGCACGAGAGTATTTCCTTTTATTAAACAATAGAAATAACATAGTAATATAACTCAATCCACGCAATAACTTTTTCCTCCATAGGGAGTAACATTGCCGGTTTACAATATTCAAATAGTAACTAATTAATTAATATTTATAACATGTTGTTTCAAATAAGATTGTAAAAGAATTCAAGAACACAGGACGTTTAACTAATTTTTTCCTAATACAAACCTTGCGAACACGATCTCGATTTTCATCCCTATTTGAACACAAAACGATTGAACTCAAATTCTCAATTTTCTTGGCTTGCTTTTGCACCATCTTCTCCCATTCAGCTTGGGCTTTTCTTTCCTCCTCCAACTCCAAAGCTATGCGCTCTCTTTCCAGCTCAGTCTACAAGGTAAGAGTAGTAATTCAAGAACATGCTTCCTACTTCATATTACAGTAAATTAGAACGAACAATTAAAACCTGTAATAATGTATTTCGCAAATTGAGGATCTCCTCTTCCCAATGTTCCGAATGAGAACCCTGGAACAGATATAAGTTAAAAAATAATATTTTAGATGCATCCATTCAATCTGATATTAGTTTGACTAAATCACTAAACCTGATATAAACATGAGACCAACCTGTAATTTGGCTCGAAGCTCCTCAATCTCCTTCTTTTGTCGCTTTAGCAAAGCTGCATCCGTTAAAATCTGCCATAAAGAAAAACAAAGGTTGCAATTCATGAAAGAAACACAAGCAATTGAAAAAATGGACTGGCCTAAAATACTAAGTATTAAAATATCTGCGAAAGAACAGTGAATATATGCTAAAGAAAAATAGAAAAACAACGGAAAGCTAAATTGAAGCATAACCTCATTGACATGAGCACAGTTTTTAACGCGTAAAGCTCTACTTGCAAATTGTAGACTGCTTTTAGTCTCATCTACATGAATCTGCCAACAAAGCAAAAGCAAATTTGTTATTGAATAAAAGAGAGAAGATAATTAAAAAAAAAAGAAAAAAACTAGCAAAAATACAAACTTTGATTCACAAATCCAAGACAAATTAACAAGGCCATCCATAGAAAGTGCATATCAAAATAGTGTCAGGGACTGATGTTAACACCACAAATTCGAGTGAAGCATATACACTGTACCTGTCAACCCACCTAGTTTCTCTGTTAGCCTGAGGACTATATCAAAACAAGAAAGTCCAGTACCTATGTATACTTGACAGCATTATAAAGTAACACCGTGCTATCAAGATATATATTTTCCATTTCGAATTGAAATAACATCTTCAAAAGAAAAATGTCAACTTCCAATTCAAGGAAGAAAACTGGGGAGAGGGAAAAGAGAGATTTGTAGCCCAACTAAAATTCACTAAGTCTCACCAATCTAAAAATATCTTTTGCATTGCCCAGAAAAGAACTGAAGTTCATTGGCAGGATAGTTCATTAGAACCCATGGATGTTATATTCATAAACAAAGCCTACATCTATGAACCAAAAACAGTTTTCCGCAGCCCAGTTCAACTATTTGACAAAAAGGAAGCCATATGTCATACACTAAAATTAAGACCAACATAAAGTGCACTATAATTTAAATCTGATCAACAAAACCAAATTTCAAAAAAAGTATGGCTGATTGTTCAGCTGAACAATTCAAAGCCTCCAGCATCAAATCATAATATCATATACCTCTCGTCTAGGGTTCTTGCATTTAAACTTTCCATTAAGTTAAGCACCCAAAAAAATTATATGATAAACATATGTACAGATGTCATTTGAAAGGTGATGTATCAAATGCAAATTCTATGAGAATACGCACAACCAAGAAGATACCAGAATACTTTTTGAACCAGAACATCAATCGACAATTACAGTGGTACAATAATACCTGTGCAAGTGTGATATTGCATATTATAGCCGTATTTGCATTTCCACCAAGAGCAGGTTGTAGGATGCGCGTAAGCTTGCTATCTCGATACGGCACATGACCCCTGCATAAAATATGAAATAACATCAGTTTCATCTCAAAATATTAGTACCAAGAATACATTCTTTTGACCACCAGTAGGCTGCCTTTTAATAGCTTGCACAACATACCCTTGACTCTCAGCACCTTCACTTAATTTTTTAATGACTGTTCCTAATGCCATCAAACTTTTGTTAATGTGGGAACCCTCTTTGAGCCTAACACCTTCTGCGCCAGTTTTTGCAGCACGTTCCGAACCAGCAAGGTCAACCAAATTCTAGAAACAAGAAACAACATTCAATAAGAAATAGTAAATACTAAAAATAAAAATAAAATAAATCCATTTGTTCATTCAAATTGCAAAAAGAATAGACATTTAACCCAAACAAAGTGAAAGGGAAAGAAGATTGATTCTCTTTGAATTGACATACCAACACTGAAACACGAACGGCATCACAAGAGCTACCAAGATCTTCATCTTCTGATTTATCTCGACTCTCAATTATCTATTGACAGAAACGACATGAGGTAGACTGGTGAAAAGACACAATATGCCATATATCAACAATAATCAACAAGAATGAACGAATATACAGGCATTACCATTCGGAAAATAGTATGGGATCTACTACTGTGGACATTCATATTTGTCTCTCCAATATGTCGATGAGCTGAAATTTTGAAGGACAAAACAACTCAACCATAACAGTTTGGTTAATAAATCTAACAACTGATTCATATCAAACTGAATAATTTTGACAACTACCAATTTAAGGGGAGGTTTGTGTTGTGTGCTTAAGCACACGAGGATAATAGATATATAACGTGTGAGTTTTCTAGGTGCATGGAGACAGGAAGCTAATAACAACAACAACCACAAAAAAAAAAAAAAAAAAAAAAAAAAAAAAAAAAACCCCTTTGGAAATGGAATGAGTTTAAGTGCCATTACTGAAACAACTTTGGTCACAGTTACTTAAATATGTTAACAAACAGATTCTAAGCCACATGGGATGCATTTAGAGAAGTGTATAAGAATGCTATGCTATCAAATAGTGCTTTAGAATTTGCATAGAAAACAGAATATAAGGCATCAAACTTACATTCTCCAAACTCCATGAGACCAAGGACTTGCTCAGGAGAGGCAACAATTTCTTCTCGCAACCCAGCAACATAGATTCCTCTCTGAAAATATGAAGAGAAATAATAGTACTCTAAGTAGTGCCAAACAATTACAGTGGTTTACACTTTACATCTTCTATAGAGAAAAAAAATGTACCTCTATACTTTCATGAATCTGCAGTTTGCGATGCTCAGGAGCCAATAAATCATTTATCTCCTCGTTATATATCTCCATATAGGACATTCGCAGAAGAAATTCCCGATCTACATCCTAAAATACGCATAAAAGAAGTTAAAACGTAAAGTGCAACTACAACAAAATATTTCAACAACAATTTCAATTTTACTTCCTTTTACTATTATTTCATTATCCGACACTCACACGTGCTTCATTTGCATATAATTTATCCAATGTCTTATGGAACTAAACACATTCGAGGACCAAGCATATGTCCAAGAAACAAGAACAAAGGAAAGCACCAAGCTTTCTTAAAGTACAAGAATTGCTCTGAATCTTAAACCAACCATGTGAACAAGTTTTGAGTCCCAAACATTATACAATATAAACAATTGCAATAACAAAGACAAGCACACTAACGGCCAATATGGGATTTTTGTGCTAAAGGCTAAAAACACAGCTTCTTAAAAACAACCATAAAGTATCTATAGAAAGTTACTAAACTCGCTAGTTTCATCATTTTATGTGCAAAGTTTTGGTGTGAAAAAAAAAAAAATTGGAAGAAAAAATAAAGCCCCTGAAATCGAAACCGGTACCTGCTGAATTATGTCGAACAAATCACGGACAGCTAGAGGAATTACCCCTGGCTCCGTTGCTGAGCCTCTCATGGTATAAGTTTTCCCACTGTTTGTCTGCCCATAAGCAAAAACAGTACCTGCCAATTAAATCAAAGGAAACTCCACATTAATTTTTCTGTAGTACCAAAAAAAAAAAAACACAATTTAAACTTGAAATTTCACTAGAAATTTGAATTGAGGGCATCTAAAATCAATACCATTAAAACCCTGCCCTGAACCGCTGCGGCAACGATTTCTTTCGTGCGAGCTTCGTAAACTGCTTGGGTCTTAGAATCTTCGCAGAAAATCCGATCTGCAAAGGGAAATATTAAAAAAAAATAAAAAAAAAAACCAAAAAGAAATCAGAAATGGAAAGAGAGAGAGAGAGAGAGAGAGGAAAGTCAAAGTACCGAATTCAAACTTGGATGAGTGATTAGGGATGAAAATGGAGTTGGCGGAGATACGCCACGGACTGGAGTTGGCGTCCTCTGAGGAGAGAGGGCGAGTGCGAAGGGTTACGTGAATTCTCTCCATTGCGCTTCTCTGTCTCTCTCTGTCTCTCTCTCTCTCTCTCTAGAGTTTTGGGAATCTCCTTTGTGGTGGTCGGAAAATGGGTGAGGGAGAGCTCCTGAAACAAAAAATCCCTCTTTTGGGCCTAATCTGATCTTCGCGCCTTTTTTCTTGCTTCGAAATTCTTCCTTTTTTTTCCTTTTTTTATTTTTATTTTGTGCTTGATAAGGGATTACTAATATTGTAACAGTACTCTCTCAAAAGATATATATATATATATATATATTGACGAAAACATTTCAGGACGGTAAGAGAAATAACAAACACAAATTAAAGGGATAAAAAAGGAGTTAACAAACAATGGGTTATGGGCTTATGTTATGACATACTCTAGGCACTAGTTTTTGAGACAGATTCTGGCCAAATATACATGAACAACTGAGTCAGACATTGTTGTTGTTGTTATTGTTATTATGTTAAGACATACTCTAGGCACCAGTTTTTGAGACAGATTCCGGCTAAATATACATAAACAACTGAGTCAGATATTGTTGTTGTTGTTATTGTTATCGGTTCTTTTTTGCTACTGAAGAAATTCTCAATGTCCAAGTACCACACACACACACACGACAGAAGAATTGGCAGGTATTGTCACCAACTAATTAACATTAATATGACTAATAATTATGAACTCACCGGCCAAGAACAGATCAGGTAAAAATTAGTCTCCTTCGCTTCACTCCGATGTACCTCTACCAGCTTGAAACCAACGCTTTAAGACTTCACTGCCTTGTCCCACTAGTTCTCCGGCTATCTCTAAACCCCAAGAATTAAAATATAAAGCATACAAAATTACAGATTGATAAAAATAAAAAAAAAGGAACTGAACCGATTTAGGTTATGGACAGGGGAAATACCTGTCGAAGAACAAGACCGAATTTGTTCCCCAAGCAAAGAATCTATTCCCCAAGGCCGATTTTGACGAAGAATGAGAAGAATAGGGACCGAATTTGTTCCCCTGCCTCCCCAAGGTCGAATCTGACGGAGAGTGTGGAGAGTCCAGAGAGAATGGAGCGGAGAGGAAAGAAGAAGCAGAAGAAGCAGCGGTGCCGGACTGCCGGTGGGTGAGGGCGAGGGTGGGTGGGTCTGGACTGAGAGAAGCGGTGGTCCTCCGGTGGACTGAGAACTCAGGCGGTGGAGACTCACAGAAAAGAGAAAAGGAGAGACGAGAGTCAAGAGAGAAGAAAAGTAGAAATGTGAGGTTGTTTGAGGCGGCGCAAGAATGGAGGGGCAATGGGTGGGTTTGGTAGAGATTTTGGGAGCCTAAAATCAATTCTCTGCCTAGCTAAAGCTGTTTTTTGTGTTCGGTAAAAACTTTAAAAAGTGCTTCTTAAAGAATTTGCGTGGAATTTGAACTCAAAATCAGAGATTGTGCGGGAATCATTGCTACATTTAATAGAATTTTTCTTATTTCCCAAATTAACCCTGCTGAATGTAAGAAATCTCCATCCCAAATTTTCACCTCCTTTGCACTCTCCTCTCTCTTCCTCTTCACATGCTCTCTCTCAGGCAAAGCTTTCTCTTTGTTTCTCTCTCTTCTCTCACTCTGCTCTCTCAGACTCCCCTCTCTCCGTTTCTGAGTTGTTCTTGCGCTTATCAGCGAGGCAAAGTCTCTCCTCTCTATCTGTTCTTTCGGTGAGACTGGGGTTATTCTCGTTAGGGTTACCTGATTTCGGACCAGTTGGACACCGTCGGATTGCCGGTTGGAGCTCATCGGATCAATAGCCTCTGTAAGTACTCTATTTAGTTTTGTATTGAATGTCGATTTGGTTTTTTGTTCTCTGGATTGATGGATTTTGGGAAAAATCTTTTTTTTTTCTCTGCTCTGTATTTCGTTTGTTTGGGAGAGACGGTGTAGATGATGACCGGCTCCTGCCTGAGTTGGTCAGAGGAGAAGGAAACGACGTCGTTGTTGTGTAGGCGTGGGTGTGGGTTTGGCGGGTACCCCCGATTCGCCGATGTTCCTTTTCACTTGGATTTCAATCTTGTTTATCCAGATGCTGGTAAAATACTAAACATTCAATCTTTGTTTCTTTATATGTATGTGTGTGTGTGTGTGTATTTTTAGAATTTAATGTTGTTTCTCTGTTTTTCATGTTTGGATTTTTGGGTAATTAGGATTGTGTCAGATTTCTTGGTTGAGAATTGGCTTGTAAATGGTTATATAAAATGAATTTCCGGCGCCAAATTATTGTTAAACTCAAAATGACATGTTGAATTTTGTGAATGCAATCATGTTCTTTCTTTTTCTTTTAATTCTCTTAGATATAATTTTGGTTAATTTGGAAGAAACGAATAAAAATATTGAATCTTTTGGATGACTTGCACTTGGGATGTTATCAATCTAACATAGCTTGTTGAACTTGGAATAGTGATAATTGGTTTCACAATGATATATATATATATATATATATATATATTGGCTTGAAGTTTCACAATGATATTTACTTTAGAAAAAGAGATCTTGGTTAAAAATTGTCTCTATGATCAATTTGTCTTACTCTGCTAAAGAAACTACTTGAATTTATTATCTTATGAACATGGAATGGCAAATGTTTGCATATGGTTTCAACTCTTGATAGAATTTAGTACCCTTATGAGTTAAAAAAACACAAAGTTGGGAAAAGTTTTTTGTTTGTGTGATGAAAAAAGTTGACTTCCTTCAATGTCTCTAATGAAAGTACACTTCTAAGAACTTGCTAGGATTTATCCAATTCCGTTGTGTGAATCTTCTTTCCCTTTTGTAAAGTTTTTCGGGTGTAGAGCTTGTAAAAAATGTCATGGAGAAGCTTTTCTAGAGAACTCGACAATATGGATATTTTGCATACTTGACTTGATTCTATTGTTCTCTATATATTTAGCATAAAGTTTTTTTTGTTGATGGAATGTGTGTAGATGAGAATAATTATAAAAGAAAAAAGGTATATAGATAAGAATATTGATCACTAATATTTGGATTTGTTTCTCTGTTAGATCAAATTCCTTACATTGAGTCTGGTGATTATGTGGCCTACAATAATGAGAAGGGTGGAGTCATTGAGAGAATTAAAAAAGATGGAATTATTGATTTGGATAATGAGCTCTACTCAGTTCTAGATTGGATATCTACAAAGGCGATGCTCACTTCATGGCTTGCTGATGCATTTAAGTCAAGTATGAACTCTGGGTGGGAAGTGATGGTAGTTCTGCTCAAAAGATACATTGTTTCGATCTCCCATTGCCAATAGGAAACGCCCTCTTCTTGAAGCAAGTTTAAAATCTAAAGGAGAAAGATACAATTTACTACAATTTTGAGAATGGAATGTATATTTTATTTATTCCTTTATGATAAATTAGATTGTATATGTGGATTACTAACTAAATGCTCTTTTTTTTTAACTACATATTGTCAATGAAAAAAGGAAAAAAAATTATTATAAATTTAATGTTAGATACTTTAGCACCAAATCAAGTTTTTATTTTTTAATTTAAACAAGTATTTCTTAATAACAAATAAATTTTTATATGTTTCCTTTCTTATTTAAATTTGTTTTTTTTTAAGTTAAACAAGCATTATGTTTTTCTTTTTCTTTTTTAAGTTAAACAAGTATTTCTAAATACTAAAAATAATTATATATATTTAAGTTTCATACCATGTCTATTTTGGTTATTTTAACTACTCACAGCAATTCAACCACATAATTTATCAAACGCTATTACACTGATTTTGAAACCAGCACAGCCAGTATAACTATAATTTACCAAACACTCCGCTGCTTTTTGTAACAGCTGTTTGTTCATTCAGCACAACTAAAAGCAATTTTTTTAAAATCCATAGCACTACCAAACTAAGCCAATAAATAGTATGAAACATTTTTAACCTAGGTAATAAACGGGTAACAAACGAGTTGTATAATCGTGTTACTTAAATATAATACGTTTAATAAACGGGTTATGGCGGGTTAATTGTAGGTTGACGGGTCAACCTGAAAATGACACGTTATTTAATCGTGTTTCACGAGTTTGACCTGATTTTGACCCGGACCTATTTATGATAAACCTAAACCTGCTAATTTCGTGCGGAATTCAAGTTGTGTCATCGTGTCGCTACCTGGATTGCCAACCCTATATATTGAATTGCATAAGTACTAGATTCAACACTTATGTGAAAGTGTAAGCTCTCTTCCTATTATTCCATTCCCATTCTACATTTTTTTTTTTGCCTCCATTCCTTTTATACTTGTTATTAGCAACTGATCCGCCCGTGCATTTCTTACATTTGTAAAATTTTCTTCAAAATTTAGGTCATATTCATTTAACAGATTCGAGTTTAGAATTCAAATTTTTTATAGTAAAAAGTTCTCAAAAATAATCATATCTAACTTTTTTACTACACTAAAAAGCTCTCACATAAAGTCACATTTCAACTCAAATCAATGAACTAAACGGGCCCGTAATTATACCTATTTATTACTCTCTTAATAGATGAGTTCTTTTTAAAAAAAAATTAATAGATCACATTTAAAAAGGAAAAAAGAGAATATTAGATAGTAAATTATTAGGATAAAATCATTTTGGTATCTTATGTTATAGTGAAACATACTCTTGGTACCCTTTACTTTTTATAATATTAAAGCGGTATTTCGACATTTTTAAAAACATCATTTTGGTATATAAAAATTAATTTTTGAGACGTAAAATGATCTTAACACATTTCTATCTATGAACCAAAAACTAATAAATGTAGAAAGAAATATGAACTATTTAATTTTGTTGTTTTTTTTTAAATATTTTAATGTTTTAAAATATTTTGATTTTTAAAAAAATATTGGTTTTTATTTAATTAATTAGAAAGGTAGCTTACACATTACATGTCTTAAAAATCAACTTCAAAGTATCAAGCAAATTTAAAAAAAAAAAAAAAAAAAAAAAAAAAAAAAAAAAAAAAAAAAAAAAAAAACAAACGTTAAGATACCATTTTAATATAGTAAAAAATACAGAGTCCCAAAAAAGTGTTTTGCTATAATACAATATATTAAAATGATTTTATCCCTTTTTATTTTTAGGACGTTTTCAAAAACATAACCGAGTACAATTTTATTCTTTCTTTAAACTCAAACCAATCTCTTTGTTCAATAGTGCTTCAACATGGCAAGAATGATAATCTGACGCTGTCTTGTAAGGCATGGATTTTTGAAGGAAAGGGTTTGGAGATAGAAGTAGTGGAACATCTTGGGAGAGGGTTTAGAGATTATAAATTGCTATCAACGTTGCGGATCTCACCCTTGAGGCCCCAGAAGTAGTATCTTAGAAGATATCAGAGACGTCTTCATAATTAAATAGTTAATTATCTAATCTGATTACACAGTTAAAAGTGATAACCTTCAACATTATTAAGCAGTTCAATAAAGAGATGGAAACAACTAAACGACGTGATTTTTATTCTCTTTTCCTAAGTCATCATAAGTAATTAACAACAAATTTCAGAATTAGCAAACACTACAAACAACGAGAGAAACAGACAAAGAAATGGAAACTCCTAACATGAGTTATCAATTCAAAACGTCATCATAAGTATCATTGCAATACAAGCCTCGTTCATTTCACAGAGTTTTCAATTACAATTTACTACGGTTAAAAACTCTCACAAAAAGACACTTTTAACTTTTTCTACTACAGTTAAAAGTTCTCATATAAAATCACATCTCAGTTTAAATTAAAAACTCGAATCAGTGAACTAAACGAGGCCACAATATGCTGCGCTCAATAAGTCACCAGAAACTGCCAAAAAAGGAAGCAAAAAACATATTAGAGTGTTTTCTTCTTCTAACTATAAACTAACGGTTAGAGAACCAAGAATATTAACAACAAACTAATCTAATAGTTTAATGTCTGAGTACCAAGAAGGTTGCTTACACACGCGCGCGCGCGCATGGAATGTTTTAAAAAAACACTTTCACAGTGATCTAATAGTTTAAGACAAATTTAAATAGAATTAACTATTATTAAGTTTTTTGTATTTTCATAGTTTTCCAATTCAATTGTCATTCAGTTTTGCCCCCCAAAAATTGAAGTGATTGAGCACCGACTACCAAAACAAGAAATACTTGTATTCAAATCTGAGACATTAGTTCAAAAATACGGTAACAATTGGATATAACATACACCCCAGTTAGAATTTGATAAAACAAAAATGTTAACCAATAAATTATTATAAACTTCGATTCTCAAACCATTCTGTTCTTCCTATTCTCAGGACGTATTTACACAGAATTTAACTAAAGGTGAACTCATAACGGTTTATCAATATAGAAGAAATCGTCACAAAAATCTACATAGCTTAACACACAATATTACAACCTTAGTATCAACAGATTCCACATGGGAAAAGATTTTATGCATATAAACTAGAAGCCTATGGCTCTTATGAACCAGTAAAATCTAGGAAAACATTGAAAAAATACAAAGATATTGAGTAAAAAATGATGTCCAGAGAGAATAGGCAACTATCCCCACTCAGAATGCAAAGCAAACACTAGACCAACTACAAAACATGTTCAACCAGAAAACATATTTGAGGTGTACACAGAATTATTATTAAGACTCCATTGAAAGAGAAAAACCGATTACCCTGACCACTGGAAGAAAAGAAATTTCATTGCAGCAGATCCAATATCACAATAGAAGATAGCCAAAGTAATCAACAAATAAAAGCTTAATCTTGATATACAAACATTCTTAACTTATATACGGATAACAAAAGTTAACGCAAGCAATTAGTTGTCTAAAGCTCAACTGTACTTGAAACTTTGAGTACTTAAAACAAGCAAAATAAGAATGTTAATGTCCGGTAAATGAATGATAGAACAAGGAAAACCATAACCGCAACTAATTGAAAAAACTAAACATAACATCGAACATTATGAGCAACTTCATAAACAAAGGTAAAACGTACAAGCAAACCAACATTCGTAACATAACTAAATAGTTACTTATCTAATCTGATTACACAGTTAAAAGTGATAACCTTCAACATTATTAAGCAGTTCAATAAAGAGATGGAAATAAGTAAACGACGTGATTTTTATTCTCTTTTCCTAAGTCATCATAAGTAATTAACAACAAATTTCAAAATTAGCAAACACTACAAACAACGAGAGAAACAGACAAAGAAATGGAAACTCCTAACATGAGTTATCAATTCGAAGAGTCATCATAAGTCATACCTGATCAATACTTTTCTCAACAAAAAGGTCCAATTCAGCAAGGCACAGCTTCTCCCACTTCGCCTCCCCCTCGGCTTTCTTCGATTCCAAAATCAAGTCAAGTCCATGCTTCACCCTATACTCCGGCCAGCTCAAACTCGCCGAAGCGCCAGCCTTTCGATCAATCTCAGCCATTTCGATTCCCGCCAGAGCCACGGCCGACGAAAGCGCCTCCGACTTGACTTTCTGGCCACTCTTTGCTGCGCCTTTCGAGTTCGGCTCTCCGCTGCCCCAAATCCTCTTCGACAGCTGGAAGGCCGCCATCTCGTGAGGCTTCGTTGGGTTGATCTTCTTTCGCGAACTCTTCTTCAGCCTTCGAACCTTATCACTGAGCCGCGTCTTCGAAGCACCGATTTGTAGCGACTTCTTAATGAAATCGTGAAATTCGTTCATGTCGGCGACGGCGGGATCTGCACTCCTCTTTGCGGTGAAGTCGATCATCCCCTTCAAGATAGCGGTCTCGTCATCTTCGCTCCACACCCTCTGAAAGAGAACCTTCTTCGAGTCGTCTCCTTCCGACTTCTTCGGCTCCGGCTTCTCCTCCTCAGAACCGCCGTTCTCGGCGTTGGAGTGGCTCCCCCTTGTCCCCCTTGGTCCGCTTCGTCGATTGCCTCGACGTAGTCGCCGGGGGCTTCGGTTGGGACTTCTTGGCCTTCGGCGGACTCTCCTCCTTGGACTTCATGTTCATTTCATGTTCCTCGTGTTCGGAGCCGGAGGTTTCTTCCGACGAGGCTACCTCTCCCTCGGAAGAAGAAGAATCCGCCGGGGGATCCTCGTGATAGAGTGGTCGCATCTAATTTTATCCGTTAAAAACTCTCAAAAATATCATATCCCAATGCAAATTAAAAATTCAAATTTACTACACGAACGATCATCGTTTTTCGTAGTGGTAAATAGGTGACGAGTGTGTCCGTTAACATGCCATCCTGCCTTTTATAGACTTTTTCTTTTCTTTTTTTTTCTTTTTCTCAGGGAACACTTTAAGTCCTTTTAATTTATTGATTCGAGTTGAGATATAATTTTATGTAAAAAAAATTTATAATAATAAAAAAATTAAATGTAATTATTTCTGAGAGTTTTTTATTATAACAAAATTTAAATTCTAAACTCGAATCGGTGAAATGATAATAAAAAAAAAACTTATTACACATTCAACTAACAAAATTTATTCATTTCTAAAAATTATTGTGCTCTAAAAAGTATAAATATATATATATATATATATACAATTACAACATTTTTTTTAAAGAGGTGTTATTTATTTTATTCTGAGAAGTGCGTTGTATTACCTATGGTTGAAATGCATGAAAGAGTCGGAATTGATAGTTTTGATGAATTGCTAGGCATTGATCGTGAGTTTTGATTATTAAACACATAAGTTCTTTAGATAAATAATAATAATAATAATAATGATGATAATAATAAAATTTTGATGTTTAATTTCATAGGTTAAGTTTAAATAATGATTGTAAATTAGTGACTACCATTATTAAGAAAATATTAAGGTTTTGGCTTGATATCTTTCTTCATGCATGCATATATAATTTTGGTTGAATTTTTGTTTTACTTTTTGCATTCTGACGTTATTTTTTTTAATCAGTTTATTCTCTTGCATATTTTGTCATTATTAAGATTATTTAATAGGATTTTATATCTCTGTCTTTTCGATTACTTTGTTGTTATATAAAGTATATTGCTTTGTTTTACGCATTGTCTTGGAAAAAAGGAAGGTATATTAAGCCCCGTTCACTTCGCTGATTTGAGTTTATAATTTGAGTTGAGATGTGATTTTATGTGAGAGTTTTTTACTGTAGTAAAAAAGTTAGATGTAATTGTTTATGAGAGCTTTTTACTGTAAAAAAACTCAAATTCTAAACTCAAATTGCGAAATGAACGAGGCCTTAACCTTTCGTATTTACTTTGACTTTACAGTTGTTTCCAGAGTCACTTTTATACCATTTATATTTACTTACGTTGCATACTTTTTTTTTTCCTGACCATTTACTTTGGTTGCTCTATAACATTTTTACGGCTGTGTGTTTTTATTGATTATGCCATTTAATTTATTTTTATTTTTCAGTGTAAACTGTTTTTGCTATTTATTTGCCCCTATTTCTTTCCAAGTACTTTTGGAATTTTTCTTAATTCGGCCATTTTTATTGGCACATTCACATTTGTTTTGACTACTGTTGTTGGTTCGAATCATCATTGATCAATTACAAGATTTTAATTGTTGGCTACTTTTGTTAACAAAATTCATGATGAAAAATAATAGGAGATTCTAAAATTTTTAGGTAGACGATTTTCAAAAATTAAAAAAAAAAAAATAACTACCAACTCAAATTTCGGAGTTCCAATAATATAAATGCAAATGTGGTTGTGACTCAAGTGCTCTAACAATGTAGGTGACTGTTTTTCCAAACAATGGTGAAAAGACTATAGTGCCCATTAACATCTCATTTTATTTTTTATACACTTTTTCTATAATTAAATTTTTTATTACTAAATTATACATCTATAAAATTATCTTTGACACTAAGAGTATTTTAAATATATACTTATCACACACCCACCTAAACCAATTCTTCACATCTAAAAATTATTGTATTATAGAATATATGAGGTCTTTCAAAGTTCGGTTCAGTTCGCTGATTTGAGTTTTTAATTCGAGTTGAGATGTGATTTTATGTGAGAGCTTTTTACTGTAGCAAAAAAGTTAGATGTGACTGTTTGTGAGAGCTTTTCACTGTAACAAAACTCGAATTCTAAACCCGAATCAGCGAAATGAACTAGGGGCCCGTTTAGTTCGTTGATTCGGGTTTTTAATTCGAGTTGAGATATGATTTTATGTGAGAGCTTTTTACTGTAGCAAAAAAGTTAGATGTGATTGTTTGTGAGAGTTTTTTACTGTAGCAAAACTCGAATTCTAAACTCGAATTAGCGAAATGAAGAGGGCCTAGGCCTTAGTGATCCTCCATTTTTATTTAAACCATAATGATTATTTTTTATGGCTTTGATTTAATCGAGAGTAATGTCCTATCATTTGAATTACCTTTTCCTACAACCGGTTAATATGTCATTTAATACGTCATTTACACCCAACAAAAAACCCTTCGTTTTAATAATACCAATTATAGGGTGGAGGGTGTACATCGAACAAACAAACAATGTAGAGATGGTTTGAAAAAGAAAATAAAAAACTTTTCGGTTTGCAATAAGTAAATGCAAGCCGATGATTATCCTACTAGTAGGTTCTAGTAGTATTTTGAATATCAATGCCTACAACTCCATCAATACTTGAGCAAAAATGTGAAACATGGCAATAACATATATATTTAAAATGCATTGGAATTCAACTAAACTTTTTCGAAATTTATTTTTCTTGCCTTTTGAAATGCAAATGCATTAATCGATTGTTTATATTTGAGTTCATCTAATTATTTTTAATCAACAGCCAATATGACTAAGCTATTCAATCTTTAATATTTTATTGATCTTCCACATCAACAATCAAATGATCAACTTTTTAGCAATGCTATTTTCTTTGCTTTTTCCTACTTCAATTTTACTGATTCATTTAAATTAGTTTATTCTTGAGCTATTCACATATCTTATTACTTGTCACAAATTTTTTAAGAGCTCTTTTTTTTTTTTTAAGAATGAATCAAACTATTTTTTTTTTTTCTAGTTTCTATTAGACATTTGTTCCCAATAATTTAGGTTTGAAAACCAAATAATTACTCAATACAACATAAAAGATAACAAGATATAAAATAGCTATTATGAATGTCAAACAATAATGTTTTATAAAATTGGCAAGAAAGAAGTAAGAAATAAATACAAATTTGAGAACTTGAAAAACACTTAAAATAGTGTTGATGAGTGGAAAAATAGGAGGAGGTTGAGGCAATATATAGATTATAGTGGTTAGAGCTTTTTTAAAAAATATATATTTTTGCAGTGTATTAGCTTTTTTTTTTCAAGGTTTATTGTACTTAATGAGAAAAAAAAAGGAAAAAATTAGTTGGTTTAAAATAAAAGGAAAAAAAAAACTAAAAGAGTTAGCTGTTTAAAATAAATGAAGATATTTAATGTTGGTTTGGTTGATCTCTCCTAGAAAGAAGCATGATTGTATGCGCATGACGATTATCCACTTCCCCATGATCTCCCAAAATGCAGTTCCAAATTTTTAGGTCATTTAGTTTTTGCTTTTCAATTAATGTAAAATGCATATTATAGACATATATAATAAAGAGGAACATTAATTATGAATATCTAATTTGTTTACATTTAAATGTCTAAGCCAACTAATAATCTCTCAATCACTACACATAATTGATAATACTACTTTGCTTTTCTCAAGTACGAAGTCGAATGGCAATGGGTACTCGATCGTCGAAAACATATGTGTGTATATATATTTGTACTCTCACCGTGGTTTTGATGAATTATTAGTATCTCATTTTCTCTAATTAATTTTATTAGTTAATTCTTCCAAAAAAAATTAATTTTATTAGTTAACAATTGCAAATTAAGTTTCTATTGTGTAAATATTATGCATGGCAATATTACTTTCCTAGTAGGTTCGAAATTATGTCCGCCAAAGTCTAAAATTGTGTTTTTTATGTCTAAGTGTTGCATTTTTATAATTTATTTTATGTTGTTGAGGACTCATGTTGTGTCCAATAAAGCTTGCAATTGCATCCACTATAATTAAAAATAATATAATTTTTCTGTGAAATCCATCATCAAAGAATATTAGGAAAAAAAAATAAAAAAAAAGACAATAAGTAAAATAAAAGAACAAAAAATTAAAAAAAAATTAAAAAGAAGAAGAGCTTAAAGAGGAAATGTTTAAAAAAGAGAAGTAAGAGGCTTTTTTTGTATGGGTGCCACTTCAGCTTTTTAAATTTCACAATTTGGTTCTTTTTTTTTCTTAGCAACTGACCCCTTCAATTTAAAAAATCTTTGTAATTAAGGTCCAATCGAAAATATCATATCTTTTTTTTATGATTCTGATCACATGACGCACATGTGAGCGTCTGTGGAGAGCAATAATGGTCATTTCTCACCCTTTAAGCGTCTATTGAGTGCAATAACCTTTAATAATTAAGAGTTCTTTATAACAGTTGGTTGTATTCAGACACATTAGATGACTCTAAAATTAATATAACTAAACAAATAAGGTGGCAAATGGTCTTTATTGTACTCAACAAATGCTCATGTGCACATCACGTGATCAAAATTGTAAAAAAAATTGACATCGCTTTCGGTTGGACCTTAATTGTAAATATTTAAAAGTGAAAGGGTCAATTACTAAGAAAAAGAAGAATAAGGACTAAATTATCAAATACAATAAGTTGATAGGGATGTTCGTACCAAAAAGCCAAGGAAAAAAATAAGAAGAAAAAAGAGGCCAACATTTAGGGTGCGTTTGGTTCATAGATTAGAACTATTTTTGATTTACGTGTATTTTTTGTGAGAGAAAATACTGTAGCGAACCACGAACCATGATTCGAATCAGGGAACGAATCCATCTACCAAACATCACCTTAGCGTCCTTAGGAGCCGATTCGACTTGACAGCTTTTCTATATGTTATATTTTAAATTGATGTATTGATAGTTGTTAAAAGATGAACTATAAAAGAGCCCTAGGTAAAACTAAAAAATAAACATAAAAAGACAAAATAAAATTAGAAAAGAGCAAAACACGGTAAAAAAAAGTTAAACAGCAAAAACAAATTTATAAAATAAAAAAATAATAGAACAAAACATTTAAAAAAAACTAAAAATAAAAATAAAAATAGAAAAAGAAAAAAAAAAAAAAAAGGAGGAAGGTGAGGGAGGAGAGGGGAGTGATGATTAGTTACTACATGACAGTCTAGAAATTGTTCTGTGAGAACACTGTAAAAAGTTATGTGTAAAAATAACTTTTGATATAACATAAATTACATAAAAAATAATTAATTATAGACACATTTGAAGAAAATTGTTTTAACCATTAACAAAACTAAAATCACATAGAAGCATATGGGAAAAAAATTACTTTGGTAGGAGAAGTGAGCAAAAATTATTTTTAAAAAATTCACGTATAAAATAAAATTGTAAATTTACAAAACAAAAAATAAAAAAGTAAAACATTTAAAAGATGAAAAGAATTAAGTTGAAATACTAAAGAAGGAGAAAAAAGAAAAAAGAAAAAAGAAAAAAAAAAGAAAGAGGTGAGACCGTCAAGTAACAACTTAAGAGAAAAGTACTATCACAAGAGTCTTTAACCCTTTTATGTATTGTTATATATATATATATATATATATATATATATATATATATGTGTGTGTGTGTGTGTGTGTGTGTGTGTGTGTGTTTAAACTCGGTAGTCGGATTGAAAACGGTGGACACATGTACTGTCAATAAAGGAGACAACACTTGTTGGTTCATTCATCAAATGATTACTTTTTACCGGACGAGTCGGTTGTAGACTTAGATAGATATAAGTATTTAACTGATTCGAGGAGTATAAGAACAATTGTGTAGCATCGATTAAATGTGAAGAAGCAGTTTTTAATATATAAAAATGACATTGTAACTTTTCTAGATAGGAGTGTAATACTTAGTAAGGCCATATATGGTCTTGTTTAACACTGTATGTAACATTAGTGATTATTGTGGTAAAAACTTTTAAACGTGTTTATTGACAATATATGTTACTGAAACGTGTTTATTGACAATATATGCTACTTAAACGTGTTTATTAACATTTTGTGTGTAACATATAGGACATTATGTATAATATTGTGTGTAACATATGAGACATTATGTGTAACATGGTAGATTACATTTCTTTGTATATCAAAAATGGGATTTAAAAAAAAAAAAAAAAAAAACTATTTATAACTCATATCTAGTTTATACTCTGTGATTTTTGAAACGCATGAAAGAGAGAGTAAATTCTAATTTTTAAACGCAGATTATTTAGATTGATGATTATGATAATAATAATAATATTATTATTATTATTATTAATAAAATAATAAATAATATTAATAGTAATAGTAATAGTAATAATAATAATAAAGAAACAAAAAGCGATTTCATTTCTTTGATAGTTGATCTTATAGGTAAATAACAAAATCCAAAAAAGTGATAAAAGCGTTTTTTAAAGAAAAAATTTCACTTCATTAAAATATAGTAACATATTCATGGCCTGTTTAGAATAGCTTATGCTTGTACTTTTAAGTAATAGAAGAAGATAAGCATAAATTGGAGCTTTTTAATTAGTATTTGGATAATACCTGAAAAATGTTTTTATATTTAAGAATAGCTCTTGAACTTGTTTAGCTAAAAAAGTAAAAAGCACTTATTGTTACAAAAAGTAATATAATAAAACGATATGGATGTGATATTTAATTTGTTGTTCACAAATAAAAGGTTAAAAATATAAATAAAAAAACTTTTCATCAGCATTTTTTTCATTAGCACTAAGGAGATGACTTGTTCTAAAAGTGCTTAAAAAAGTCAAAAGCACTTTAAGATCGTGCATCCAAACAGGTTCAAAAGCTGCGTTTAGACTAAATAAGTCAAAAATAATTTTTTTTACGCCAATCCAAACAGCCCTCAAACTAATCGTAAGTGAGTACCACCTACAATGAAATTCAATCCTAAAAATTGACTAGATCCACCAGCAAAGACGAATTAAGAACAGAGGCAAAACACAAGTGTTGAGATCTAACGGGAAAAAATATGCTCGGCACATAAAGATTGAGCGCGACCAAAGAAACGTTTAAAGAAACGTTATTTTTTTAATACCCTGAGACTAAATTTTATAGCATATAATGTCCAAACTGCACATTTATTAATTAAATAAAAACTAATAACTTTAAAACTATTTTCTAAAGACATTTTAATATATTATGATTGTTTAATGTATAAATGTTTTAAAGTATTTTTAGATATATATATATTTAAAAAAATTGCTAGTTTATAGTTAGTTAGTGAGAAGGGTAAAATAGACATTTTGTCTCAAAAATCGATCTTAAAATACCAAAAAAAAAAAAACATTTCTTTAAATGTGAAAGTGCTTTTTCAATATTCTTAAAAACACAAAGTACCAGCAAAACGTTTCGTTGCTTGAATGTAATTTATCTTTTTTACTCGGTATTTTTAATTATAATTACAATTAATGGTGGAACCCTAAATAATTTCGCAAGGCTCACTGGTCTTGAGCTTGGTTCTAATTAATTTTATTTGTCAAATTCCATCTTTCTTAGCGAACATTACCCGACTAAGTTTTTGTTTTACTATGATTACATTAGTTTTAACAAGGGTGTGAGCAGTTAACAAACCTGAAGCAAATTACACTAGTTTTAACACTAGAAACAACCTTCAGAGCATCAGTCTCCGCCATCTGAATTCTCCAACCATTTTCTGCTGCAAACAAAAGGCCATCCCTCATCGCATGACACTCGGCAATGAACGGCAAGACCGAGCCAAAATGCCTCTTACAGAAAGCACCCAAGACTACCCCATTTGAGCTGTGAATCCCTCCTCCGGTTGAGAAAAAATCCGCCTGCTCGACGACAGCTGCATCAACATCTAATTTTAGTTCACCAGTAGGAGGAGCTGACCAAGAAGTTGGTTTCGAAACTTTAGGAGTCGTTCACGACATCGTTGGAATTCCGCCAGGTACAAGCTAGCATCCTCCAACAGCTCATTTAAAGGTTTTGAGATGTCATTGTGGACCTAGTACTAGGTGACAATCAATTTACACGCCTTCTAGATATCCAAAATTAAAATCCCTGAGGGCCTGAAAGAGAGGGCACAATTAGTGGTAGTGCAAAAATTGTGGCGGAGCAGAGGTGCTACGATGACAAAATTTGTCGGTGGAGGGGTGGAGGCAGTGTGACACCAGAAATCGTGGGCGGTCATCGGAGTTCGGATCAAACTCCATCTCCTCCATCACCACTACAAAATCATCCTCCAATCGTAATAGTAACTCCTATGCTTCTAATCACCTCCATCGCCTGTGCTTCTAATCACCTCCATTGCCGCTTCAAGACAGGAGTGTCTGTGATGAGCCGTCTAACCCTTGACTATGACAATGGTTACGTGCAAATCAAGTGTCAAAAACCGTCAAATTTTAACGATAAGTGATCAAAAGGACTAATGGTGCAACGCATTTATGAATTTGTCAATTGCCCTTTTTTTTAGGAACTAATTTTCCGAACATGTGAAGTTTAGGGGATATCCATACAAAAAAGCCTTATACATGTAAACTCATAATTATCCTGAATCTAACTCTTCAGGAGTGAGCTTCACAGAATATTCCACTTTGACTCCAGTGCTTGGCAAATCATTGTAATACAATATGCTGCACTCAAAGGGTAACCAGAAACTGCAAAAAAGGAAGCAAAAAACCAGTTAAGAGTGTCTTCTTTTTCCACTAGAAACTAAAAGTTACAGAACCAAGAATATTCACAACACAACTGTCAAAGAACCAAGAAGATTTCTCACACACACACAAACCACCTTTCTCCCCGATCTGATAGTTTAAGACCACTGTTTTATAAATGATTAAATTAACTATACTTTTGTTTTTTATTTGCATAGTTTTCCAAAGCAATTGTGCTCGGTTTTGGCCAAAAAATTGAAGTGATTGAGCACCAACTACCAAAAGAAAAAATATTTATATTCAAATCTGAGACATTAGTTCAAAAACACGGTAAAAATTGGATATAACAAACATGAGAGTTAAATTAGATAACGCCAAAATGTTAGCAAATACATTATTTGAAATCTCAAACCAGACTGTTCTTCATATATTAAGGACGCATTTACATGGATTAACTAAATTGTGAAATCAAATTTTTTTATAAATTATAGATGAAAGCATCAACAAAATCTAAGTAGCTTAACACACACTATTACAATTTTTCTAACAATCAAGATTCCAAGAATAAGCTCTGATGCTCGAAAAGTCCCACTGGTAAAATGCTAAGGATCAGAAAGTAACGATCGTGACATAAGCACGTGATTAACACAGTTAAAATATCTAGGATTCTATAGAAATACAAACAAAAAAGAGAGGTTATGCCTTTTACCTGCTATAAAGTCATCAATATAGTCCACATCAATCTTCCCATGGGCCATTGCACCAACCTGAAATGCAAAGTGTTGAGAAAAGCAAGTTTATCAAAGTAAATGTAGTATATAGCTATGCCACTTTGTTACATGATACATACCACGAAAACATGATCCATATCATTGCTAGACGCGGCCACATAATCTCGTATTTTAACTAATTTTTCAGAACTGTATGAGAGACCTGTCATTCAGAGGTTATTGTCATTCTCACTAATACCATAATATGCAAACAACTGGAAAATGTATCCAGATTCTAGCTCACCTATTTTGCGAGAGTTGACAGGCAAATACTGCGTTACCGGATTCTTGATGACACGCAAAAGCTTCTCCCGCTTGCCCACAGCACTTATACTCAGCTTTTGCAACAGTTGCACTGCGTACATGACGAGTGAGCAAACAGATTTATCAGGAATCTTAAAAGAGAAGAACAAAGACAAACTAAAAATTTATGGAAAGATAACTAAACTCACACATGATCCCGGCAAATCGTTTAAATGTCCTCGGTATACGGACAAATGGTTTAACTTCAATAAGAACACCCAACTCCGTTCTCACATACACAGCTCGTAACCTCCCAGCTTTATTAAGTGGGCTATCTAGGATCATTAGAAGAGCCTGTAGGTTTCAATGTTTAAGATTATACAACAATTTTCAAATAACAGAATAGTCAATCCTAACACACCTAATGTATAGATCATTCATTACTTTTCCAAATGGAAACTATAGCAATTTTTAATCTACTCAAAAGCTTCCATTAGCTAGTACAGAAAATGGTCCTCGGAATCAAAATGTATTCCAAAATAGTATCGGGAATCCTTGTTGTGCAAACCTGATGTGCAATATCAGGCCTGTAATCTGCAGGATTCTTCCCCTTTTTCCGCAAGAAATCCGAATGATCGTCGGAGTTCAGAAGCTTGTAATCCTGCATCAACAATATAAGTTAAAGATACATAGAAAAACTAAACAAAGCAAGAAAATTGGTTAAAAGATTCAAAACAAAAACAAAGGCAGAGGCAACATAGTATTAATGAGAAGTAAAACTTGTGAATTACTACCTTTCCAACTTTTCCAGCTTCCAAAGAAGCTTTCTCAAGGATAAAGATAACCCCATTCTTGTTTCTGTCGTTTTTCTCACTTGGGGCAAGCGGAATTCCTTCTAAATCAACTGAAACACCCTCTTCTTTTTCAGCTTCTTCTATTTTTTCCTCTTCTTTCTCAACTTCTTCTACGTTTTCCTCTTCTCTGTCGTATTTCTCATTTGCCCTTTTCCTCTTCTTCATTTTATCCGCATATGGCCGTCCCATTCTTAACCCTCAATGTCACTCTGGATCTACGTACCAAAAAATTAAAAAAAAAAAAAAAAAAAAAAAAAAAAAAAAAGGGTTTAAAAAAAAAAAACACCCAAAAACCCAAAAAAGAAAAAAACCAAAATGCTAAGAAACCGCAAAACCTTAGTTTTTTTTTTGCTAAAACATGTCGGAGTTAATTTGTTCAATTCTGTGCATAGAATCGTGGAAATACTGATCGTGTTCCAAAACAAAAGGAAAAAGAGTGATTGCATAAAGAAGGGTGTTTTGAACGAGACGCATGTATTACCTGAGAGGCCGAAAAGATCGAGATGGCGTTTCTGGGTTTCTCTGGTTATGGTGAGAGATGAGGTTAGAGAGGGAGAAAAACTTTTCTAGGGTTTAGCCGTGAATTGGAAATTAGTAGCGATTTTTGGCTTTTTTTTTTCGGGGCTTTTGGCGTTTAGACACGTTGTTTAGGAATTTCTCTATTTTTGCCTCATTTTTCTGGTTATTCTCACTGTTGCCCCTTTGAAAACCCCCACTTTACCTCTTACAAATTTTAAATTTCTCTCACTTAAAACTTTTTGTTAAAATTTTTATCAAAAATAAACGAAAAAATATCATACGACCTCACTTAACCCATCTCTTTCTCTACATTTTTAATGGAAATCCTAATAAAAGAGATAGTAAAACTAATTCAAAGTTTAAAAGATAAAATATGATTTTTTTTAAATTCAAAAATAAAAAAGAATTGACCCCGACGTTGAAGGGCGCTAATGAGAATGAGAATGAACTTTTCTTAGGCAATATTTACTTATTACGGGTCCGTTTAGTTCGCTGATTCGAGTTTTTAATTTGAGTTGAGATGTGATTTTATGTGAGAGCTTTTTACTGTAGTAAAAAAGTTAGATGTGATTGTTTGTGAGAGCTTTTTATTGTAGCAAAACTCGAATTCTAAACTCGAATCAGTGAAATGAACGGGGCCGACTTTTGACTTTTGAGTTTATTTGCTCCGTATTTTCCAGTTCTAAAGTAAAAATTATATATTTTGACTTTTAAACTCATACTAAATTTGAAGACGTTTGGTTTATATATTCAGAATTATTTTCGTTTTGCGTGTATTTTTTGTGAGAGAAAATACTGTAGAGAACTATGAATCATGATTCAGAATCATGGACGAATATAAGAAACAAACGTTAGATTTATAGTTTTTTTAAATCAACCATAATTTTCATCCATTGATGAATTTTACCCATTCTTAGTTTATGTACGAGTTAGTAATCGAAATCTTTAAAGAGGAACTCTGAGGTTCTCCTTGTAGACCTTGTGAAAGCTAAATTTGAGTTGCTAGAGGCTAACTTAAGGGGCCTTATGCCGAGATTAAGTTTATCTCTAAAAATCTTTAGGACTTTGGTATGAGGAGAGAAAAGAAAGAGCGACACCTGTCAATAGAGGTCAATTTTGTTGGCCGGCCCCCGTCCCTTAAATTGGGTCTAAGTGTGTCTCATATCATGTCTAGACATATCTATTTTATTTACCGTGCCGTATTGGAATTTACCCATTTAACTTTTGAGTAATTATATTTGCACTTACTAAATTTATTAATACACCCACCAATCTATAATTTAAATTTATTACAATTTTATGCTTCATTAAAACCCATTAACATATCCTTACATCAATTATAAATAAAAATAATCTTTTTTTAAAATAAAAATAAAAAATAAAAGAACATACACTTAGATTTACTATAATTATAATGTATTTTTCAAGGGAATAAACAAATATGCCTTCACCTTTTGTTTTATATTAAACCAAAATCAATCTGAAAACAATAAATGAAAAGAAATCTTCATTAGTTTTGCCTATTAGCAATATAATTAGCGAAAGCAATTAAATGAGCAGCTTTGTGAGGATCAAAACCGGAGAATTGTTCTTGTGCTTCCTAGAAGAAAAAGGAGGAAGAAGTAAGAAGACAATTGATAAATAAAGGTAAAGAGAATTACATTAATTTTAAAAAAGGAAAATATAATATTAGTAGTTGAAAGAGATTATATTATTTTATAAATCAAATTAAGATTAAAATTATGTGGGAGTATGAAAGAGTTAAATTAAGTAATATGAAAATTATATCTATAAAATGGTAGATTTTTCAAATCTTGATTAGATGAGCAATAATTAGTAGGGACGTTTATGAATTTTTAGGGTCTAAATATTACTCTTAATTTTTAAGGCACCAAGCCAAACTCACGACCCATTTATATGTGGGCCGTGCCTAAGAGCCCGTACTCATGCTCTTAACGAGCTTTGTTATGAAAAATAACATATTTACAATAAATACAAAGAAATAATCATTGAATATAATAAAAATATTTAAAAATAAAAAAGTACATCATTAATTAATTGTTTCGTTAAAATTTTACCAAGCAAAATTCATTAGGATGAAATTTTAATAAAGAAAAAATAGTGCAATTATAAGTCTTATAAAAAGATATATAATTAAGTAAAAGAGTAAACTCAAATTATGTTATTTCCACTCGATCCGTATTTTGAAATTAATTGATTAAATCAATATCTTTGCATTGTTGTGTCCTCTTTCTCGTATACTCCCAATGTTTGACGCACTTCAATACTTCCACTAAATCATGGTTAAATCTAATACCTCATATCCTCTAAAATCTTCCACTAGAGTTGAATGCTTGTCCACCTTTTTTAACAACTATTTTAGTTTTTATTTAGAACAATTGGTTAAATTTCCATTTTATTGACTTAATTTTTATTTTTATTAAAATTTCTTAATAAAATAAATATTTTTATGACATATAAATATTAATAAATTAATTTTATACTTTATTTTTATTAATTAGGCTTTTATCGTATTTTTAAAGTGTTTGTAATGTGCTCATACCAACTTGTTAGTCTCAGTCTATTTAGACATCTCTAGACACAATTCTAATAACAAGATGAGAAAAGTTGTTACACAAGAAATTAGGGCAACAAAAATTAAAAGAAAAAAAAAGAAATCAACGCAACAAAAACATTAGATAATATAGGATTTGTTCTTTTGAGTGAAAAACTCAAAAAAATGCAACTCGAATTACAACTTTATTTGAGTTTATGTTCTTTTAAGTTTGAACTCAGTTTGAACTCGAGTTCAAACTCGATTTTGGGACTAAAACTCGAGTTCAGAAACTCGAACTCAAATTAATGAACAGTGTTTTTTCTATTTTTAAAAATGCTATAACTTTTTAGTTTTAATTCTGATTGAGATGATTTTTTTCTATGCGTTGACAATGAAAAGACGAATAAAATCCCACTCATATATCCTATTAAAATTTCCCATCAGTATTGAGTTTTTATTAAAATATTATCTAAATACAAATTCAAGTTTTGACTTACTCAAACACAAACTCAAAAAGATTCTTATCTCAAACTATAACTCAAATGTACACAACCAAACACAAATTCAAGTTATAACTTCAACTTAAATTATAACTCAAATTCAACTCAAGAATTATACTCAAGTTAAACTCTAAAAGAACAAGTCCTAGTATACTCAATTTTGTTTTATTTTTCAGGGAATAACATGCTCAATTTAAAATCAGAGGGAAAAGTAGACTAAAAAATTTTAAAAGGAAAAGATAGTTTTTGCATTAAGTAAAATTTGGCGGCATATGTAGGACTTGTTTAAGTTTTTGTATTAAGTAAAATTTGGCGTAGGTCTTATTTAGATTTTTAATTTGAGTTTATAAAATTTTATATGAAAATTTTTTATTATAATAAAAAAATTAAATATAATTATTTTAAAATTTTTTTTATTAGTGTAAAATTTTAATTTGCCGTAATATATTATTAAAATTCGAGGATGCTTTTTTGAATTTTCCTTTTTATTTTTCTTTTCGGGGTGCACCCTAGGGCTAGGGTCATTGCGCGCCCGCGCCCTGCTCCTCCTCGTCGTCCAAACCCCACCGCCTCTCTCTCTCTCTCTCTCTCTCTCTCTCTCTATTTTTGCGTCCCCAAGGGAAACTGCTTATTGGACTTCACAGGTCACACCATATTGCTCTCTCTCACAGGTCACACCATATTGCTCTCTCTCTCTCTCTCTCTCTCTCTCTCTCTCTCTCTCATAATCGAGTGCCCGACTTGAAAACCTCTGATTGAGAAAGCAGCAATGGCGTCCATAGTGAAAGGACGACGTGACGGGCTCAAAGGTGAGCATCTGAAGCATACCTCCATTAATGGAGTCGATATATACACCATAACTTCTCAGCAACGCTCCATTCCGAGTTGGCTCGGCAATAATAAGAACCAGAAATCTAGTCGCAGAGTCAAACAAAGTAAGTTCTCTGTGCTTTTCCACCATTTTTAATTGTGATTTTGTTACCTTTTTTTGTTCATTTTTAAACCCGTTTTTGCGAATTTATTACTGGAAAAATTTTTGGAACAGTGGAGTTATTTGAGATCTGATGATCATAAGAAGCTCTGAATCTTATCAGTGAATGGCTACACTCGAACTTGCCGGGTTTTCAGTTCTTATGAATAGGGTTTATTATGTGAATTTTCAGAACTCCATAACTTGGTGTGGTTTATATCACTATTGAATTTTGAACCCTTAAAAAGTTTAGCAAATGTAATTGGAACATACAGAACCTGGGAGGAGTGAGCAAAATCTGAGAATGTCTTGTGCACTTCGGTGTTTGATTTTGAAAAATTTTGCTTGGTTGAACTGCTGAGTGAGAACTTTTTTGAAGGTTTTGAAATGATTTGTAGAAGATTTGATTACTTATCTTAGGCTCCAGTTTACCGACATTGAATCGCAACAACATTGTCTCCTGTCTCTTTTTTGGCTCTGCCCATAATAGTACTCAACATGATGTCCTCATTCTCATGCGTAGTACGGAAACATTTAATTCAGCGTAAATTTAATCTCTTAAAAACATTGAAATGTTTAAAGAAGAGGGTTTTATTATCTTATCCAAGACATGTAGCATGAAAGAAGACTGCGTACCGAGTTTCTAGAATTCGGTTTTCTAGTTCAAAAGCAAGGTTTTTGTTTTTTTTTAACAATTTGAAGTTCTTTACTGGGACCCGTCTTATCTAAATGTTTGAAGTTTATTCCTTTTCAGTGAAATACTGTGAAAATCATATTGTCTGCATTTGAGTAGTTGATGTTGGAGTCTTCAATAGGAGTCATCTTAAGGGTAGTTTTCTTGTAATAGTTGAGTTTTATTTTTGATGTTTTGTAGAATTATAAAAACCTTGTTGGCTTGTTGTTGCTCATCTCTTTTGATTTTTGCATTTTATTGTTTATTTGTAGAAGACACCGATGTTGTGGCCCTGCTCCAGGATTTGTGGTTTGAAACTGCAACGACCAAGATCAGGGCAACTCCTGACGGAGAGTACTTAATAGCGTCAGGTGTTTAAACCTTATTCTTATTGTTTTGTGGGCGATGTTGAGTGACATTAAATAGTGAAGAAAAAAAAGTGGAAAAAAGGAACTTATAACTGATGACTAAACTTTTTTTAAGTCACTGATTCAATGTTGAAATGTAGGTATTTACCCACCACAAGTTAAGGTATACGAGCTAAGTCAACTTTCAATGAAGTTTGAAAGGCACCTGGAATCAGAGATAATTGACTTTGAGGTATTTCTATATGTTAGATAAAACTGCCGACGAACAAGACGTTGGTTTCCTCTAATCCATCTTCTGTGTCTGTTTGTCTTCTTACTTTTTTCCCTGTCATCCTATTAGGTTCTTTAATCACAAAAGACTAAGTTATTACTAGAGAAAAATAAATAATTTTGTACCTATATTATCACATACCATAGTAAGGGAAAAAGTGGTCTTTACTTCTGATTATGCCAATTTCTTGTACTTTAATTGTATAACATTTTACTCATGAAGTAATAATTTAGTTTTGTTTATTTGCTTTATCTGATTATTTCGTGACTATTATAGTTTTGCTTCCTTTCTATCTTCTTGCAATTTTTCATGATGTTTGGAATATTGCTGACATTTTTCTTGCTGCCTGTATAGATTCTCGATGATGACTATTCGAAGCTTGCATTTCTGTGTACCGATCGTTCTATTTGTTTTCATGCAAAATATGGGAAACATTACAGCTTGCGAATTCCCAGGTTCTTTCTTTATGTTTTGTGGTATTTTTTGCTCTCTTGCTTTTATGATGCATACACTTCTTTCTTAGACTTGAAAAGGAGTTTCATTATTGAAGTTTTTCGTGGTTCCTATTATGTGTCAATGTTGCATACCAACAATTTTTTAATAACTTTTTCATGAATATGATATAAAGAGAAAATAGTGAACTGAATTCTCAAGTATCCAACGGCTTAAATTATTGATTAATGAATATTGACTTTCTTTTATTGTTCTTATGTTCCACGAGAATACCTTATCCTTTTTTCTTGTTGGTAATCAAGAAACTCTTTTGCTTGAATCCATATATCTTTAGCATTTCTTAATACAAAGGGAATCCTTGATGTATCCTGTCCGCTAATTCTTTTTTGTTCAATTAAAAATAATATATTTGTCTTATTTTTTAACTGTTGTTGTATTTTATTTTATGTACACACACACACACACACACACACACACACACTTGTTGTTGTATTTTATTTTATGTACACACACACACACACACACACATATATTTTACACATTTTATTCTTGTTTGTAAATCGTTACTTGTATTTTCTTTAACAGAATGGGAAGAGATATCACATATGATTGCTGGTCTTGCGACTTGCTTTGTGCTGCCTCATCTCCAGATGTATATAGAATTAATTTGGAGCAGGTTTTTTTCTATAACCAGCATCACTTACTGTTATTAGCTTGTGATATATGAAAAACTTCATGATGTCTTTTATTCCAGAATAGCACGATAATACGTACAGAAAGAAAATCTTAAAGAACTCAAGAAATAATTCTTATGTTTTCATACTGTCTTCTTTATATCTACTAAAAATAACAGTTTTGAAGTAAAGCACTTGTAAATTTTTGGATACCTCATACCTGATACGTGCAATATTGACTACGTGCTTTGTCACTCTTGATATGGGGTTATCCACTATATGTTTCATCAACAACCTAGTCTTTTAGGAGAACTTTGTTTTCTGATATGGTATCAGACAGTGGTGATTTTGAGATTCTGAGCCCAAATTGCTATAAAGGTCAGCCCTTAGCAGTCTCGGTTTTTCTTTCCTTCTGCCCTCTAATGCATTATGTGTTAAATATCATCTTTGTTGGGCCTATGTAATAAATGTTTACTCACTTGTGTGGAGTGGTGGTATATATAAACCAAGTTACTTCTAACATCTTAACTTTTGGGAGAATAAATTTCCTAAGATGTTTCATTTATTATCTACTTATTATCAGTAATTGTTCCACTCACCATATTTGGCAGATTTAAGGTTAGTTACTATATGAGTACTTGTCATTCTTGGCTTATTGATGAGAGTTTCTTAGCTTGGGTAGATGCCATTATTTTCATGAGCTTTTTTTGCAATATGTATGTAGAATTCTATTGTTTCTAATCTTTTAGGTTTATAATCTTCTAATCTTGGACTTGGGAATTCATTGACTTAATTATTATTATTATTATTATTATTATTATTTAACATACTTAATTTAAGCATTGCCTCTAATGGATCTCATTTTACAGGGGCAATTTCTCTCTTCTCTTGCAACACAATCTCCTGCTCTAAATGTAGTCTCCCGAAGGTTGTAGCTGAATCTCTTATTATGTCATTTTGTTGTTTCCTTGATGATCGTATTTATGTGTCATCATAACTTATGTGGCAATTTGCCTTCCATGGCTACCTAACTAAATTGAGGTTTCTTTTATAATTTTAGCAAGGTTCATGGGCTAGTTGCATGTGGTGGTGATGATGGCTATGTGGAATGTTTTGACATTAGAACCAAACCTTCTATTGGTAGAATTGATGCTGTTGCACCCGCGGGTGATATTGATCAGGTAAAATTCTCATTTATCCATAGATCAGTATGTGAAAGTGTCTGTCTCATACATCTTCTTTCTTTTACTTGCTTTTTTTAAAATTATTATTTTTTGTGTTATTTCAAAGGTAAATTAATTAAACAAATTCAAGAGTTGGATGTTGATCCTTGTTTGGATAATCACCCAGATTGATACTTATTTTCTTTGCATGGTTTCTTACCTATTTCGTCGGAGATTCTTTTTGTGGCATTTATCATGCATGGTGGTCACCTTCAGAGTTACTAATGTCCATTCCACTTTCAATTTTCTGGGAAATGGGCAAATATAATTTTCTTTTTCTTTTCTTTTTCCAATGTGCATGGTCTCAAATCTAGCGGATGGTTTTTCTTTTTTCTTTTTTTTTTTCCTTTTCTTTTTCCCTTTGTTCTTTTTAAAATGTTCCTTCACTCTCTCCTCAGTTGGTATGTGTTGCCTTAGTGGTTCTCATTCTTCTCTAATCATACATACATACAACCATTCGTGTTCTTCTACAGGAGGTCACTGCAATAGAATTTGACGGAGATGGAGGCTTCCTTATGGCTGTTGGAAGTAGTGCCGGAAAGGTATGATATAATATAGTTGTGATTTGTCATCACAATCATGTACGTGGTAACCATTGCCAGTAAGGTTATCTAATGTTTGATCTAATAATATTGTTGAATGCTGGTATGAGGATGATAGACCTGCAAAATTGAAGTTTGAGAAAATGTTTTGACTGGATCTTAGCGTGCATGCTGAATTAAACTTTGTGAACGACTCAAATTGCTTTATGTTGTCATTGTGTGGAGATAACCTAGTCTCTCGATGGGGGTCACCTAGTCTCTCGATGGGGATCACGAAAAAAGGAAAAGTGGCATAAGATATGTCTTGAAAAATGATAGACAAGTAAAGATTTGAGATTATAATTGATATGGTCATAACCATATAATTCTTTGGCAACAGTATTTCTTAGCATTAGGGGTAAGATTTTAACTGAAAAAAGGGTTCTTCAAAGATTTTACTTAAATGAGGTGTATAAAAAATAATCAAACCCTTTTTGAGTTCAGTAAGGATTTGATGTTGAGAACGAGAAATAAGCAGTGCTGTTCCATTTATTTATTTTTGGATTACACCATCCATTTTATCAACCTTATGATTTTGCTCTGACACTTAATATGAAGGTACTGATCTATGACTTGCGATCATCACATCCTTTGCGGGTTAAGGATCATATGTAAGTCTATTGGTCTCATTTGTTTCAGCTTTTAGAACATCAACATCCTATATGTCTCTCCATTTCTGCTAATGGCTTGCTGTTTTGTGTCAACTTCTTTGTTATATAGGTATGACAGCCCAATATTGGATATTAAGTGGCATCGAACTCTTAATTCACAGCAGCCAAAATTAATTACCAGTGACAATCACATTGTCAGGATATGGGATCCTGAAACGGTACTTATTAGTTCCACTAGACTACTAGTTGAATATTTGTTTGTGACATCTTTATATTATGTTGATTGTTTTTGCAAGTGATCTTGTAGTCCGGTTTTTAGTAAAGAGGATGTTTACTTATGTTTGCCAATTAAAATGATTCGTAAGCTTTAAAATCAATGAACCTGGAATCATCTTAAATGTTCATTTTTTGTTCACGGTCTATCATCTATGAGTTTCCATGGTTACCAATTGGGCATTTTCTTTTGCCTTTTCATTTAGAAAAATTAGGTTTGTTAATTCAATTGAGTTTTTTCCCCTCTCGTTTCTACTAGTAGAGTGTTTACAGCTTTTTGTATTTTGTAAAATGAATCCTTTCCAGAGTTTTATTTGACCAGAATTATATATTTGTGCTATTAGAAATGCTGTTTAAAACTGGTTTGAATTTGTAATCGTCACATGATGTAAAGAAGAAAATATTTTATTGACATGATGACTTATCATCCTAATAGTGCTCGAGTTTCTTTTGTCATTGCAGTGGGATATCTAGCTAGAACAATGAGTTACTTTAGACCTCCTTAATTCGAGATAACTTCTTGACTTTCCCACTCCCTTAATTTAAAATTATATATTTGATTTCTATTTATTTTAGGGTGAAGGCATGACGAGCATTGAGCCGGGTGGTGGAAGAATAAATGATACTTGTGTTTTCCCTGGCACTGGTTTGATATTGTTGGCCTTAGACAGCCGTCAGATACCAGCTTACTTTATTCCTGATCTTGGACCTGCTCCCAAGTGGAGTCCTAGACTGCAAAATTGGGTACGTCTTTAGGACGTTATTTGTATGATTTGAGAAATGCGTTTAGTTGTATATGTTTGCGATTTTAAAACATATCATTAATATTCTCTTTTCAGGAAGAGCTAGAGCTGGAGGAGAATAAAGAAGCTGTTGTATATGATAATTACAAGTTTTTGACGAGGGAAGATCTTGATAGATTGAATCTCACTAATTTAATTGGGACCAACTTACTTATAGCCGTCATGCATGGCTTCTTCATTGATCATCGGTTATATAAAAAGGTGAGTGAAGCTTGTGTATTAGCTTTATAACAGAAGAATATCTTGCCTCATTGAAATAAATAATACTTGTGGTGAACTTTGTGCTGTACATTGTCTTTGCTTCCTTAGTAAAGGAAAATATATGAGAAGCAGTAGAGCATGTCTTATTAGATTGATGTGTCTCAGACAGACGGAAGGAAAGATATTTTATCTTTATTGGCAATCTTTTATTTTAAGGCTATATTTTTCTTTTTTTGGGGTTCTTAATTGATCTATGGCTATGAGTTGCCTTTTATAGGATGTCATTTGAGAGAATGTCTATTTAGTATTTAGGCCTTCTCAATTTGCAGACTGGAGTTCCGTTATTAACTTTTTGGTGCGGAGGCATGTTGTAGCTTTATCAGTAACGTTAAGTTCTTTACCTTAAGAAATGTCCACAATTGGGTTTGATGCTTGACATTGTAATTGTTTCAATGCCCTTTAATCTATATTGGTTTGTTGCTTAGGTTATGTTTTTCGTCTCTACATTTGCAGGCTAAAGAATTAGCAAATCCTTTCTCGTATGATGAATACATAGAGCAGAAAAAGCAAGAAAAGATGGAAAAGGAGCGTGCCAATCGTATTGCAGTAAGTGACACAAATATCAAGTTTGTTGTTGAATATTTGATAGTAGCCGACTAAATCAAAATATATCTTTCTGATGCTTCAGCCCAAGAGGAAACTGCCCAAAGTCAACCGCAATTTGGCACAGAAAATTCTTGATAACGAAGAAGCAGATAGTGAGAAGAAAGATAATGACGATAAGGACACCAAAAAGACATCAAAGAAAAAGAAGACACTTGGCAGTGACATTTTCAAAGATGAACGGTTTGCGAAAATGTTTGAGAATAAGGTAAGGCAATCTAATCAAATGGATTTATATATAAAAAAAATCAAATGGAAATATTGTTAATTGTCTAAGTTGCCAATTGCACGGCCCCTTGCTTGCATTTTGGAGATCATTGTCTTTGGTTTCCTTTCTGTTGAAGTTGCGACATATATGTGAACATGTCTGCTAATTGTTTTTTTTAATTGATTTATTTTCTAGCATTGGCCTCTCCTAACAACTTAAGGTTTTGGGAGCTAACAAACCATTATTGAATTCACCTCTATACTTCTTGTATCCAGGACTTTCAAATTGATGAGCTATCACAAGAGTATCTCGCACTACATCCCGTGGCTTCTACAAAGCAACCGTCTTTGGTGGAGGAACATTTTGAACCTGTCATGGAGGAAGAAGATCACGACTTAGGTGATTCTGATGCCTCTTCAACGCCTGAGTCGTCAGATGATGAGAAGAATAATGGGAAAAAGAGATCACGGGTACCAAGGTGATCATATATATCCTTTTCTTTTGTGGGTTTCCATCTTGTTTTCACTGCGTGGTTAAGTGGACGTGCCATAATTCACGTTTGTTATGCTGATTAGTAATTATCGAGTAATTTTGAAAAGGACTATTAAAGGCCTCTCTTTAAGTCTGTAAATGCTACTGTAAGTTACTTTATGAGTTTTCAGAAAGTAAACTAATTTGTTTGGTCGCGATTGTCCAGATTGCATGAAGTCAAGGATGAACGGCACGCAGAAGCGTTTAGGAATCGTGTATCGCTTGCAAAGGAGAATTCACTTGCACTGGGGGAGAGACTGGCATCTCTTGAAAACAACCAACGAGCTTCTTCTGGCATTCCCAATGGTGTCAAGTTTGGACCCGGAGGATCACGAGAGATATCCTTCAAGGCCAGAAGATCGGCCAAGTACAAAGAGGATGAGGAGGATAAAGAAGAAACACGGCGTGAGAAGAGGAGAGGAGTCCAATCGTTGGGACTCAAGTCGAATAGGAATATGTTTGGAGGCCGAGGGAGAGGAGGGCATCGTGGGAGAGGCGGTGGGAGAGGCGGTGGGAGAGCCGGCAGAAGAGGTGGCCGGCGGTGAATCGTCTTCAATTTATTCATCTTTTTGCATCTACCTCAGGTTGTCTTCAATTTTGCCGTTTTCTCATTCTTTCTTACGCCCTTATAGGAGAATCATAATTATATTAAGGGAATCTGTATCGATGTCTGAATGTGTCGTCTTGCAAGGTCATCAATGTGAATCATGCACTTGAATTGGAAACCAGATGAATTGCACGAGTTGCTCTAGTGCATTGTATGATATATTTTCTTCTGCTTTTTATTTATTTTATTTTTTTTCCTCCTGCCCTGAAAGAATTGTTTGATTGGTGCGATTGCTATTCAACGTGGCTCATCAAAACAAAACTTAGCAAATGCGTTCAAGATCTATAGAAAACTTCAGCAGAAGCACTCTATAGAGCAAGGAAGAGAATTTGTGTTCATTATGGAAAATGGCTTCTTTAACCATGGCAATTTTCTACCTCCTCAACTTTGAGGAAAACCAGGGGAGCCAATCTACTAATACGACATCTTTCAAGTGGAAAATGTTTAACAAAATGAAAAAACTGAGGTCCCGTTCATTTCATCGATTCAAGTTTAGAATTTGAGTTTTGCTACAGTAAAAAGTTCTCAGAAACAGTCACATTTAACTTTTTTACTACAGTAAAAAGCTCACATAAAGTCACATCTCAACTCGAATCAACGAACTAAACGGGTTTGATTGGGCCCCCCTACGGTTTGCGTAAAAAGTCCAAAAAAAAAAAAAAAAAACCTAGAGCTCTCTGCAATTACAGTGGTAAAGGTTAGAGAAATCTTGACAAATATTCCTCAAAAGTGCGTGGATCTTTATTTTTATATTTTAGTCTTGATTAATTTTTTTTAATCAAACAACTATATTAATAAAAGGGTATTAATCAAGAGTAAGAGATAAAAATTCAGATTTATACATTTAAAGGTGAGTTCAACAATTTTCTTAGAAACTCAAAACACATCACGTTCAAAAAAGCCAAAACTAGCCTCAAAAACAAAATCCTAGCATTCTCTTCTCCAACTAGGGCGCCCAGAGCTTCGCTAACGCTGCTGTCGATGATTTTCCCCATGCAACGTCCCAGCCCTTTTCTTACCATGCCGTTCAAGCACATGCTCTTCTAAACGCCATTGTTAGTTCTATAACGAGATCTACTTTCTTTCTCCTTGTTCGATCTCCAAATGCTGCTGGTGGCTGGATTTTCAAACACCACTGCAGTTCGCGAAGAGATCGACTTTATGTGTGACGACGACGAGATCTCTGGGAATAAGAATATAGAAGCAGTTGCTAGCATGCTAATCATTGATGAGCTTTTTAAAAACCTTATATGGGTGGCCGGTCAAGGTTTTCTGTTTCTTACTCAAACATCTTGTTCGCTTCGCGGATTTGAGTTTTCAATTTGAGCTGAGATGTAACATTTTTTGAGAGTTTTTAACTTTAAAAATCTAAAATTGAAAACTTGAATCGGTAAAATAAACAAGACCTTAGTGACCAACGTTATCCCGCCACGGTACTTGGGAGTAGTTCACTGTGATACTAATAGTAGTCGATCGTGCTACAGGCCAGCAGTAGCTCCTGCATGATGATGGCAAACTCGTTGTGGTGTCCTGGCACTGGAGGAGCTCTCTGAAGTTTGTTGTGGGGGGAAGGTTGTTTTGGTCGTCACAGTATTATTATGCAAAATGTAACATTTATTGTAATAACTTTTTAAGGGGGACAAAAGTTATCTGTGGGTTTGAAAAGTGAATTTTGTTTAATACTTGTCAATAATTTTTTTTTAATGCTGGAAAAATTAGTCGGTTGGCATGACACAATTTTAAGATTTTCATTAATTGTTAGGAAAAAACTCATATGGCTATAAACAATAAATTATATCTAAATAACATATATGTGGAAATAACACTTTTAACCGGTGGCGGAGCTAGAATATTTTTTTAGGGGCACAAATTTTTGAATTAAAACTACAATAGAACAATTTTTTCTTACCTTTGTTTATCTATTTGTATCTTGATTTTCCCCCCTTAATAAACTATGCCTATAATAGAGTTTAATTCAATTTTCAAAATGTAGAGTTTGAAATATTGTGAATTTACATAGTAGTATAATTGATTTTTAATTTATTTGAGATTCTAAATTTGAAATGTGAGTACTTGAAAATCAAAACTTGGGTTATAATTGTAATTTTGAGGAAATATTATGTAAATTTTGTGATTGAAAACATGTCTCCTTCTTCTTCTTATTTTATTTATTTATTTATTTATTTTTTATTAGGTATGGGGGGTGGGGTGGTGGTAAATGAAGGAAAAAATTGTAAGAGTTTATCAGATTTGGGCCAAATACTTTAAGAGCTCTTGCGCCCAAGGGGCCAGCTGCCCCTAAGGCTTGCAGTGGCTCCACCCCTGCTTCTAACTGTACTATTTCTTCTAGACAAATCTCGACCAACTGATCTTCTATGTTATTTTCGTTCCACAGACCGTTGTGTGTGTGGGCCCAAGCTATGAAAAATCAATCACTAAAGGCAGTGATGAATTTGCTCTCTCAAGTTCTATCTAGCGGTCTAAGAATAAATGAGACCTTAGGCCTCTATTTATTCTAGTGGTAGTAGGAGTCTGGAATCTATTATAAGAATAGGAGAAGTGTTTTCTCTATCTTCTATTTATAGGTGGTGCCCAACTGTCTCCTTGGACCTAGGGCTGGCAATTTTAGACATGATATAGTGACACGATACAAAAATGATACTAGATAAATGAGTTTAGACCGCATGTTTATTAATTGGGCTGTTAATGAATTAACATGAATAACACAATAATAAATAGGATGAATTCGTACTAACTCACTTAACACACACTTAACACGTTTATGTATGATAACCTACTAGTATTATATATATATATATATGATACTTAAATATTTTTATGTGTGTTAATTATTATGGAGATTTGAAGAGTTTATGTTTTTGTTATCATATACTTGCTTAATTTAACTATATTTAGCAGTCATTTAATAGTAGTTTTGAATGTAGAATAAAATTTCACCATTTTTTTATCATAAAAAATGTACCATTTTTGTTAATTGGGTCATAAATGTGTTCTATTCATGTCAGCCTATCACGATCCGTTTAATAAATATGTTTGCGTGTCGTGTATGTTACCCATGTAATAAATATTTCGTGTTCATATTTAATAGTGTTGTGTTACAATAATTATGTTATGTTATAATTGTGCCAGCCCGAACATGTCATGCAAACATATAAGTTAGGTTTATATTCGGCTACCACTACATGAAGTTGTATTCCAATTCTGCATCATCCTGATAATTCTCAATCACAAAATAATTCCTAGTTTAATTTAATAGTACCATTTCGGAAATTATCTAATTAAAATAAATGTGATTTAATTATCCATAAATCAAATTGCACTATAATTCTTCACAACAAACGATTAATTATTCCAAATTATAATTTAAATTGGATTCCTAATTATCCACAAATGAGACAATTATCACAATTTAATATTTGATTTATTATTTTAAAGTTAATTAAATAATTATTTCTTCCCAAAAATTACTGCATTTGGCGCCTACAGTCCTGGAGGATCAAATTTGCCTGACTCATTCACTGGAAATTAGTCAGCTAGCATAGGATTTGATGGACATATATATGATCAAGTTCCAATAATAATAAATAAATTATTCCCGATCAATTTACTGTTCAATTATTAACTTCAATGTTACTCCACTAAAATTCTGAAGCTGAACTCTCGATTATATACCGTATTATGAAACTTCATTAGTTTATTTTATTGTATTTCATCTCATTTAATATATGTATAGATTATCCACAATCGAACTCGAGGTCAAATTTTGTTTAATTTTCTGATTATTTATCCAAAAGTTCCATTATTGAACCATTGAAAAAAAATCCTTATTTTATAACATATATAAAAATAGAATAATTAAGTCACCAATTTAAGCAAATGGTCTAGCTAGGTCTCGTTATTTTTCCAATTGCCAAATAATGCCTTTGAAAGGGTAATGTTAACTCTTCATATGGAGCTATAGATTTCATATATGTCAATCATGCTTATATAATTTAAACATCATACCTCCAACATATCGATAAGAAAATCGACGTTCATCTGAATTCCTACATTTTCTATTTAAAAGACACAAATCATAAATATGGAGTCATGAATTTCACTTTAAGATTAAGGTGATTACATAAATGATTATGAAAGTGAATTAATTTTGGTTAAACGAAATTATTAACAAAATAAATTACACATGAGGTCTAGCCCAATATATAACCACCACTAGGTGTATATCAATATCTCTACTATGGAGTCTCCCTTTCGACACATAAGATAAGCTGTCTCTCCAGTACTTATAAGTAGACACCCATCACAATCTTATCAAGGATAAAGTTTATGTCTTTATTCAACTTATTGTAGCATATACATTTAAACAATTATTTTACATTTATATTTTTCTGCATATATATAAATTCTTATATATGCATGATTCAAGATTTATAGTGTTCATAGTCTTGGCCGTATTTAGTAATTTACTTGTGCTACAATCAATTATTATGAAAGTAAATGAGAAATAAATAGATACATACTTTATTGTCCTAAAATGTTAAAATACATCTAATGTATTTATTTCTTAGGATACAAGAACAAACATTGACATCGCATTGATAAATGCTTGGAGATTGCAAAAAACACATCTTAGTTTCTGTATTGAACCGTAAGCGGTAAACAATTGGAAAAGTAATTGATCATTGTTTTAATATTTAGGCATTTCTAATGTTTTCGCGATTGATAATGCATGTTCAAATGATATTTTTCGTACTTGGATAAAAAATTGCATCGTACAGTGTGCACTATATTGAGAGGTTTAATTATTGTGCACATATTTTGAACTTGATTGTGAAAGACAAACGGTCTAAGAAATATTGTAAAAGAAATGAGAAAAGTAGTAATGTGATGAGATAGATAAGAAGATTAGCTTGGAATATACTAGATTAGAATCATGTGATTAGAACCATTTTTGATTTACGTGTATTTTTTGTAAGAGAAAACATTGTAGCGAACCATGAACCATGATTTAAATCATTATTTGAATCCTCCAACCAAACATCCCATAAATGTAAAGCAGGGACATAAAACTAGCACATTTCCACCGAGAAACTTTTATGATTTTTTTTGGCTGAAAGAGAAGCTTTTATGCTTAGATGTTCTAGTTACATGATGAGAGTCTGAATTGTATGGGGT